TTGTGAGTAGAGCAGACCTTGGCAATCTCGCTGTGCTGAATGCTCCATCGTTGGGTCTTCAAATCAGAAGACAGTCTACGCACACGACCATCTTGGTGAACAGCCAAAATGTCAAAGGGATCCGTCTCTGTTTCATCGTTGGCGCTGGACGGAACAATGCCGACGAAGGTGGTGGGGCTGGTCGAATCAGTCACAGTGGTAGTCGAGGAAGATATGACCGGGGCACTTGAGCCACTGCTGCCGATCTCCTCCACGAAACACTTAATCTGGTGCTCGGGCTTAGTAACGGCAGTATAGGTTTGTCTCCGAACTGCCGACTTTTTGGACAGCTTGCGACGAACGGAGCATGGGCGACAAGAAAATGTAGATTGCGGCGGGACGGCGTAGGAAGTTACGAGCTTTGGCGTTTGAACCTGATAAGTTTGAGTCAGTTTGCATTTGAAAGACTGAGCTTTGGGAAACCGTACATTGTAGATGTTCACAGCCTCACCATCCACCGCAACTGCGACTTCGTAGCGCTTGCGCTTTTTCGCATCGGCGAGACTGAAGACATCGCTAATACGTGTTTTGCCGGTGGAGGCGTGAAGGGGCCGAGGCAATTGCGCCAGAACAGAGGGAGATTGCAGGTCCATGACTGAATCTCGAAAACCAAGCGATTTTCTGTCCCTTCAAAGCGTGTGACCTTTTGCACGCAGAGGCGTCCAAACGGGAAATCTGAAAAATTTTCGGGTTTACGTCGGGCCGGCAAATCCACTTCTAGGCTATATCGGGTTAGCGTGGATCCGTCAAGTAATCAGCATGACATAAGCTATTAACGCGCCTTTCGCGTCGGGACGTGTCTGAAGCTATAGAGGAGCAAGTGAGGTTGGTCTCTACTCGAAATTGTCTCATCGCTGACTACTGTCTGTCCCTTCAATGCTGATCCCGGGATACTCCTCATTGCTCGACTTCTCCCTCATGATCGCCTAAGCACTCCCATGGACACCATTGTATCCAATCTACCAATGGCAATGGGATCCGATGAACAGCAAGTCCTACACCCCTTTTTCCGACAAGGTCAGCATACGCTCTGTGACTACAAACTCAAACCAACTTACACAATCTAGAATTTGGACTATCCGTCAAATCTACACCTTCCAATGACCTGCCTTCGTCGACGAATACCCATACGAACGAGGCCACATCTATAAGCAACCAGAGCTCAGCATGTGACCAGGGGCCGCAGAACTTTACGGAACGCAATAACAATTCTTCACAACTCGTCACCGAATCCTCTACCAGTACCGAGGAAGATCCCAACGAGAGTCGGAGGAAGAGACGAAAAACCGACAAAAGCCAACCTGCAGAACCCACGGCCATCTCCAATGCAGGCCTTTCGGCATGGCTCGGCAATGGCCCTCCTATTCCTATAGTAACACCCGCCGAGACTTCTCTGGACAATTTGCCTACATCTCAGACTCAACCTCCGCTGGCAGAGGCCCGGATTTCTGCAGATGCTCCCGCAGTTTCGACGTCTACGGAACATAACAAAGCAGAAGAGCGAACCGGAAGGTCATCGGCGAGGCAGAAGACCCTCAAACTTAATTCGAAGGGGAAGTTTCTTTCATCGCCTCCCTCGAGTCCTCCTCGAGAGACGAAGAAGAGGGCGACGGGAAAGCGAGGAAGGCCACCAAAAGACCGCACCAAACTAGTAATCATTAAGTACAGGGTTGATCCAAAGATCAAAACTGGAGAAATTATCGATAGCATCCTAAGTGGAAACTCAGTTCATCGTCCTCCGGTCCCCGTTGCCAAACCTACTTTGCCGACACGCAAGCCAGCAACGATAAAATCCTCGAAACCCACCCATCCATTCTTCACAAAGAAGCTGGCACCAAAGACCGATGCCCAGAACGTGGCCGAGTCGAAACAAGAACCTCAAGATGGAAGTTCCAGAACACAGTCAGATCAAACAGCAACTGGGACTACAGAAAACAAGCGACGAGTAGCCGGTTCGATGCCTTCCTTCTCTACGTTTGCTCGCCGTGTGTCCAAATTTCCTGAACTACTCGATCCTTTATGGCCCCCACAAGATTTTGTGCACGTTAGGGACGTTTGCCCGCCGACGAATATGATGGGCACAGCGTGGCAGACTGCGAACGATCGAAAGAAATCGAAGATTGCCGCAATTTCAATCAGAGACGAGGAAAACGTGTTGCTCACTGGGACTGCCGAGGCAAGAAGGACCGCAAGGCAATTTGGACACCCCCAAGACGCCATCGTCTCTCTTCGACATCCCATTCGACATGTTGCAAGCAATCAGATCCTGCATACGGCAATGGAAAAGCAGATGTCTTGGTCCTCGCCAAACCCTCGTTTCCCTTGGAACGCTTCCAGTCCACCTCTCGCCAAAATTGGGACCTCCTTACTCTCTTCAGTCTCGGCATTCGATTGTGGAAAATACGAGACCCAGCTTTGGACACATAAGTACGCCCCTAAAGCGGCAGAGGAAGTCCTCCAGCTCGGCCGTGAACCACAGATGCTTCGAGATTGGCTACGCCATCTCACCATCACGGCGGTAGACACAGGAAAGCCACCAAAAGACACCACCAAATCTAAGAACAAACGCGACAAAAAGCGAAAGAACCGACAAAAAGCCGATAAACTTGATGGATTCATCGTGTCGAGCGAGGAAGAAGCCTCAGAGATGGACAATCTATCTGGCTCAGACGATGAGCTATCTGGAGGTATAACTACCTCGGCGCAGCGGACAGTGGTTAGATCGGGTGACATGGCTGCAGCCGAGAAAATCCAAATGACCAACGCAATTCTCCTCAGTGGACCTGCCGGTTGCGGTAAAACTGCTTCCGTCTATGCTGTTGCAAAAGAGCTTGGTTTCGAGGTTTTTGAGATCAACCCGGGAAGCCGTCGGAGTGCCCGTGATATGTTAGAACGAGTGGGGGACATGACACAAAATCATCTGGTCCATCTCCTCAACGAATCTGAAAATCTGGCAGAAAGCGTCAAGGATGACGGGAAGCAGAACAAGTTGATGAGCTTTTTCAGGGGCCCATCGAAACCCAAACAACCTGATACCCAACCCGAACCCAGCCTGAAACCGGAGGCAGATCCCAAACGCCCACGGCAACAGAAACAATCGTTAATCCTGCTCGAAGAAGCGGATCTGCTCTTCGAAGAAGATCGACAATTCTGGACCGGAGTCCTCACTCTCATTGCCCAATCGCGACGACCAATTATCATCACCTGCAATGATGAGAGCTTGATTCCTACCCAGGACATGTCGCTGCATGCCATACTACGCTATCAAAAGGCTCCTCAGGATTTCAGTGTAGATTACTTGCTTCTAATTGCCGCCAGCGAGGGGCACATTCTCAAGCGAGAGGCCGTCACCCGCCTTTACCAGGGCAGTGGAATGGATCTTCGAAGGTCTTTGATGGACCTGAATTTCTGGTGTCAAATGGGTGTTGGCAGTGACAAGGCAGGCCTGGATTGGCTTCTCCCTGCATGGCCACCCGCATCCAACGTTGACTATAACGGGGACCGAGTTCGTGTTCTCAGCTTGAATACTTACGAACGGTTCATGGGATGGTTCAACCGCGATTTACTTCTAAGTCGAGATTCATTGGAGAAGGAAGCAGAAATAAATCGAAACACCTTTCACTGGTGGGATTTGGGACTTCAAGAATCCGAAGACATGGGTGGCAGAAGTGAAGTTGAACTTATGCCACCTAATCAATTTCAGTCGAGTTCTAAGACTGCGCAACTTGAAATGCTGTACCGTGAAGCCGATTACTACGATATGAGAAGTTCACTGGATATCCTTTGCTCTAGCTGCTCGATTGACATGCACAACGTAAGTGGGATTCACACCTTCGCAGACACACCCGCTAACATCAACCAGGATGGCATTGATATCTCCGCACCACCTCTTCCCGAAGGTTACCGATCTAACTTCCTCGACGCATACCCACTCCTCCAATCTGACCTGCGAATCGAACATTCGTCTCTCAGTGAAGCTGTCAGCACCACGTTCGATGCCTTGCTAAGCCAAACCTTCCGTCCAGCCACCAACACAGACCTGGAATCATCATACGCGAATCGAATCTTGAGCAAGATCGTCCGCTCTGGAAATCCCCAACAAACCCCACCATCTACCCTACCCCAATTTCAGCGCATTTTCGAACCAGTCATGCGCGCCAATTATTCCATGCCTACCCCAACCGCTCGACACGCCCCATCCTTTGAGAATGGACTTGCAGCCATCACAGAAGATCTTGCTCCATACATCCGAGGAATCATGGTCTTTGACGGGCGCCTACACCAATACCGCCAGAAGCTGTACGAGCTCACAGTGCAACAACAAAGCGGCGAGAAGCGATCACGAACCACACGAGCCAGCCGCGCAGCCCTCGAAGGAGGCGACAAAGCCTCCACGCGCAAGGAGAGATGGTTCGCCAACGACATGCCCTATTACCAAGTCCAAGCCACGGCGGGACCGGACTGGCAACATGTTCTGTATCAGATGGGGTACTTCCATGTCCAGCCTATGATCGAACCGACTGCGGAGATCAACGAGCCAGTATCTATCAACCAGATCATTGAGAACGTCGAGTGATGGCAACGACCATATGTATTATATATGAAAACGACTTCAAGATAAACGTCCAATCTACACATTCTAGAGCACACAACACTTCCGGTGTAGTTTTTGAATCCATGCCAACATGTAAACCACCCCAATTCCAGGATATGGTATTTCCATCAGACGAGCGACTCTTGTATTATGGCCTAGATCACTCAAAGTCATAATAATACATAGAAAAAAAAAAGAGACAGCCATTGTGGCTACAGTACGCCCATGAAAGAAAGCCCAGCGACAAGAACACGAACTCCCTAGCTCCCGACCCGCAGGAACCTAAGCGAACAAGTCAACAATCATACAAAAGCCACAAGCATTAATCCAAACTCACATTAAAGAACCCAAACCCAGTCTATAAAAACTATGCAACAACTCTCGTAGTAGCAGTCGGCTTCGGCACCTCAGGCTCCTGAAACGAAGCCATATGATACCGCCCATAATCCTCCTGCTTGTAATCAAAGAACGACTCCCCAGAACTGCGGCGCGAGCTGGTTGGCGCACCACGCTGTCCTTGTCCCTGTGCTTGGCCCTGCCCGCCGAATCGCTGCTGCGCGTAGCGACCGTAGAAGCCTGAGGAGCGGTTGCGGTCTTCTAGGTCTTCGCGATCATCTCTGCGCTGGCGTTTGTAGTAGAGGACGACGAGGACGATTATTGCTGTGAGGAGGAGGCTGTGGTGGGATTAGTTTGCGGTTGGTAGCTGGAGGTGGTGTGTTTGTTGATAAGCTTACACTCCTGTTATCGCGGCTGGGACGCCGACTGTCAGCGCTCGGCTGGTTGGCTTTGTGCAGCTGGAGACTGTGTCGTCGCCATTGCACTCTCGGCGGAGGAGGGAGAGGAGTGTAGTCATTTTGTTAAAAGAGTGTGGTGGTCGAGGACCAATGAGTAACGAGTGACGAGTGACGAGTGCAGGGTGAAGGGTGAAAGAGTGAAGGGGAAGGGGGAAGAGTTCAAGGGAGCGTGGGGAAGGAGTTGGATAAACAACCCTTTGTTTCAGAGGGCCGCAGGGTGAAATTGGGGCGCAAGTTGTAGAGGCGCATCGGTTCTTATGGCTGTTTTGTGCGCAGTGCGTGCATTGGCGTTGAAAAGGGGGTGGCTTGCTGTTTTTGGAAATATGGGGTTACATTCTTTGGCCCCTCTCGAGTTTGATTAAATTTCTATATTGTTTAGTGTAAGTAAAGATTAACTTCAGTCTATGATTTGAGTCTATGGATCTATGGATGTACTTTGCAGCGATCTCCGTTTTGTTCAGGCACATTTCGGAGCCTATCATTGCTGTGATTGGCCATGATCGCAATTAAACGGTTCAAGTGGAAATTATTATGGAAACAAATTTCTTCCTCTGTTTACGACTAAGAAGAAGTTTAGGAAAAAAAAAATAGCTCACTGAATTACTAGAAATACCCCAAGCCTCCTACCGTTCCTTTGTGGGCTCTACATACCAGTTGCCCCGATAATACCAGAGAATGAGAAAGCATCTGAGGGCTATAGCAGATACTAGTAGTTCAACCGATCTATAAATTGAAATTATCTGCTCGAATTGACTTTGAAATACCCACCAAGGCTTAAAAAACAAGGCGTATGCGTATCTGGAAGTCTGTCAAATCAGGCGACAACAACATGAGACATGTCTCATCCTCTATTTATACAACCTAGTTTTTGCTGAGTGGAGAGAACGCTAGCATACAATCTATGCAAACACAGCAGATTTAACTATCCCCACACTTCCTAGCATCCAATCTAGACAAAGTATCACTCTTCGAAACTTCCTCACTCCACCGCTTCCGCGGATGCTCAAAAGTCGACAAAATCCGACCATAAGACATACCCCCAAGCTGGCCAATCGGCCGTAACTTCTCCAGATCAATATGACTAAAGTCGGCATCGGAAGTTCCATCCTTAACCCAGAACCGAGTAGCCTTGATCAATACCGTCGCAGCAAGACTCATGCCCGGCTTCTGATGATCCGTGAACTCCTTGATATCAATAACCTTGCCTTCAATATTGAACACCGATTCCGCGACACGGGCCGGTTTCACCGTGCTAGAGGGCGCCTCGTGTAGGCCTGAAACGTCCCATTCTGAGACGTCATATGGAGCATCAATGGATGTGGCATTGACTGCTTCAATCATGTTTTCGGAGACGGTGTTTATTACACATTCGCCTGTTTCTTTTAGGTTGCGATATGTATCTTTGACACGGCCTGGTCGAGATGAGAAGCCCACGATGAACATGGGTGGGTCATGGTCGATGACTTGGAAGTAACTGAATGGAGAGAGGTTCTTTTCACCCTTTGAGTTCACTGTACTCAAGAACCCGACTGGTCGTGGGACAATTCCAGAGACGAGTAGGCGGTAATTGTTGATCATTGGTCGATCTTGGGCGTAGGGATCGATTTCATGATGTTTTTGGGCTAGACTGTTTGGGGCTCCGTCCCCATAGTTCCAGTTTGGATTAGGCGACTTGGTTACTTCAATGGCTGCAGAATGGTTGAAGTCTGGACGGGCTGCTTGGATTTCATCGAAGTTGTCTGTGTCTTGTATGATTTTGTAGTTTTGTTGTGCTGCAACAGTTTCACTCTCTGATGCCACAGCTGCAGAGGAGGCCACCCGCAATTGGTTCAGTGAGTGGGATCGAAGGCGAGAAGCAAAGATGGTTGTAGATTTCCACGCACTGGGACGAAGTTAGTAATTGGTCATATGAATTACGTTCACTGAGGTTGACACACTTGCTGGACAGGCGTCCAATTGTTTTGACACTAGTCATCTTGGATAAAAAGTAAGCTGTTATCTTGAAGATTTTATTCTCAAGATTGCTATAACTTAATTGATATAATTGATATAATTTATGATTACAAATGTCCAACAGAAAAAAATGTCGGGAGCGACATCCGATATTCGGGCCCGCTTGCCGAGATATCAAGATAAGCCTTGGAGGGGTCGAGGGGTAAGCAATTGTATCTTCATCTTCAATTGCATCTGTCCAAAAATGTTTAAACAAGGTACGAGTCTCGCTTTAAGTCTAGCAAAGGCCTCGGTGCCCGCTATGTCCCCAAATCTCCCCTTGAGAACTCGCGGGTTCTCATCTAAGGGGCCTAAGACCTTGGTGACGAGCGTGCAAACAAACGAAGCATACGCACGTAAGTTTTGGCACTGGATCTACCAATATATAAAACTAACATCAAATATAGCCTTTGCCCATTATGTATGCACCTCTGAGTGAACAGAAGGAACAGACCCAGTACCTGGCACTAATAACTCCGATATAGTCTCAAGCAATTAAAGCCGCCGGTCAAGTCTGGCTGTCCGGCCAGATACCAGCTGATGCCGAAGGCAACTTGGTTAAAGGATCTATGGCAGAACAGACGGAAACTATCATAAAGAATACCGAAGCTATTCTGAAAGCATCTGGGACCGGGTTAGAACGAGTTGTCAAAGTAGTGGTGAGTCAAGACAATAGCGGAACCTGTTATCCACTCAGCCTTAACATTCAAACAGGTATACGTCAAAGATGCGGATGTTATGCCTGAGTTTGCATCGGTGTATGATGCCGCATTCCCGCATCGACCTGCTCGTTCTATGGTGGAGGTGTCGAAGTTGCCTGCGGGGGTGGATATCCAAGTGGACTTCATTGCTGTTGTATAATGACATCATAGAACGTAAGTTATTTCTAATAATGAGGATAGATTGTCAATCTGTTTCAGCTGTATAGAGTATGAGTTGCATGTTCGGGAACTTGACAAGAAGCCAAATAGCCGCAGCCTGGAATAACGTCCCGACTTTCTTTTATCGCCGAATCAAACAGAAGACATTTATAGTGCTCCAATATATGCTCCAATATAAGAAGACTTTTAGTGTATCAAAAATTTTCAAAATGGCACTGCGTTGGTCTTCACTCGCCGGCCCCTGGTCGACAAGCAGACAAAGATATGCCCAAAGGAGTCGGCTCCACGTTCCATCTATTCACTCGTTCACATTCAACGGTCTTAAAACTTGCCACTCAAGTAGCGTTGAATTATTACCCCGTCTCTTCAGCACTTCCTCGCGCCAGTATGACTCCAGAATCGTTGTGCGCGTCCCCCCGATGGCAGAGTCAATCACAGAAGGAACTCTAAACCAGTTCAACAAGCTGGTTGGCGACTTCATCGAGCTGGATGGAGAGCTCGCCACAATTGAGACGGATAAGATTAATGTTTCGGTGAACGCACCGCAACCAGGAGTTATCAAGCAATTGCTTGTGGGCGAAGGAGATGTTGTCACTATCGACCAAGAAATTGCGGAGATTGAAGCTGGCGAACAAGTTACAACCCAATCTGAGAAGAGCAAATGGCCAGCTTCGAGGGTCCAGGATAAGCCTAAATCAAAGCAACAGCCTACAAGCACAGTGCAAGCGCCTGCTCATGAAGCCGAAAAGCCATCCAAGCACGAAGAGAGCCCAAAAAAAGCACCGGCAACTACTCCAATTACGCCACCAGCTGCTGGACAGCCCCAAGCCTGGGGATTCAGACCGAGTTGCGCAGAGGAGAAGGCAAGTTTCTGGGGTAAGCTTCCCAGGATTAACAACTGACATCAATTTCTTTTTAGGTCAAAATGACCCGAATCCGACAACGCACCGCTCAACGCCTCAAAGAATCCCAAAAAACAGCCGCCTTCTTAACAACATTCAACGAAGTTGACATGTCACGATTAATAAGTTTCAGAAAGAAGAATAAGGATGCAGCGTTGGAAAAACACGGTGTTAAACTGGGCTACATGGGCCCAATGGCACGTGCCTCCGCACTAGCACTCAAAGAAATCCCAGCCATCAACGCATCAATTGAAGGCGAGGATACGATTGTGTACCGTGACTATGTGGATCTCAGTGTTGCAGCGGCTATCCCGAAGGGCCTTGTTACACCTGTACTGCGGAACACTGAGTCTAGGAGTATTTTGGAGATTGAGAAGGGGATTGCAGAGCTGGTTAAGAAGGTATCTATTATACACATTCTCTATTCTGTCGATTAACGCGATACTACCATTTGGCTTTATATAGGCTCGGGATGGAAAGCTTACTATGGGCGATATGACCGGTGGTAGCTTCACGATCAGTAACAGTGGGCTTTGGGGATCACTGTTTGGAACTCCTATAATCAATGTCCCTCAGACGGCTGTGTTGGGAACCTACGGTATTCAGGATCGACCTGTGGCTATCAATGGACAGGTTAAAGTTCGACCGGTGAGTATTATTCAAAGTCCTTTCATTAGTTGTTTTCGTCTAATCATATTGCCTACATCAGATGATGTACATTGCTCTCACTTACGATCACCGCCTTGTTGATGGGAGGGAAGCAGTCACGTTCTTGACTCTGATCAAGAAGTACTTGGAGGAGCCGGAGACTATACTACTTTCGTTGTAGATGGACGATAGTTTATTTGGATAATAACCTCACCACTGAGATTCTGCGTTCTTTCATTGCGTGATTCGTGGTCTCGTAGTTCAATTATGATAAACAGTTTTTTTACGTTCTTGTAATCATACAGCGTTATTTAACTCGACGATAAACACAGTAGGAAGATAAATTACTACAAGCTAGTGGTAGATTAATATACTACGCATCCTTGATATGTCGGAACCACCCTCCGACTTCGTTCGGCTACTTGGCGGTTATATGGCGAAACTGAATTATACCGAACGATAACTCCATAAAATATGAGTGGGCTTGCGTTGCGGAGAACCGGGTCCGCCGTTCTATTTCAGACTCGTCGAATCAATGAATGTTGAAGCACACAACATTTTGTACTCTGCTAGAAATCGCCACTACGATTTTACACTTGTCCCAGTTTTCAGAAGTTGTTCCAATGTATAGGAGCACATGATTCAAAATCGATTTTCTACCATGCTTTCATTGAGAGCTTCGCTCCATCGGAGTGCCAACCGCCTAAGTGCAGGTCATTCAAAGCAGGCATTCCACGGCTACATTCTGAAGCCACACCAGCAACATTATGCTCGAGCTCGCCGACAATGTGTAAGAACCTTGTCTCTCAATTTCTGTCATAGCCCAAAAGTGAAGCTAACTAGGAAGCCTCAGCTACATACAGATAGCTTTCTCCAGGGAAATACCACGGAATATCTGGACGACATGTATGTAGCATGGCGTGAAGATCCCTCTTCAGTCGATGCTTCATGGAAAACATATTTCGAAGCAATTGAAAACGGGAAACAGCCCCCAGACCATATCTTCTATCCATCAGAAGAAGCAATTTTCGGACGGGGCTCGGGGCAATCGTCGATGCTTCCAGGCTTGAATATCGCGACCCAGGCACCATCCACGCCATCGCCGCCATCACCGCCATTGCCATCGAATGACGACCAAGCGAAAATACAACGATTGATTCGTGCCTTTCAGGACTATGGGCATTTGAAAGCAAAGACAAATCCTTTGGATCTCCCAGGAAAGCGACCTATGCCACCACCAGAGCTTCAGCTAAACTTCTATGGCTTTACTGAGTCAGATCTAGATCGGGGGTTTGCACTTGGCCCTGAGATCCTTCCTCATTTTGTCACAAAGGAAGGGCAGTCTATGACTCTTCGCGAAGTTATTAAAGCATGCGAAACTGTCTACTGCGGCTCGATTGGAGCCGAGTATTCGTACCTCCCTTCCCGAGAAGCACGTGAATGGGTTCGTCTGGCCATTGAATGTCCTGAGCCATATCGATTCTCGACGGAAGAGAGAAAGAGAATTCTCGACCGGTTAGTCTGGTCGACGTATTTTGAGAAATTTCTTGCAGCCAAGTTCCCGACAGCGAAACGGTTCGGGCTTGAGGGCGCCGAGAGTCAACTCCCCGCTGTTAAAGCAATTATAGACGCCAGCGCCGATTATGGAGTAAAGAATATCATCTTCCCGTGTTGTCACCGTGGAAAACTCAATATCTTGAGCAATCTCACCCGCAAGCCCAATGAACTGCTGTATAGCGAATTTTCGGGCGAATCGACTGCCCCAAATGGCATCTCAGGAGATGTCAAATACCACCTGGGAATGAATTACGAGCGGGAAACACCTTCCGGCAAAAAAGTCAATATCTCCATCCTGCCAAATCCATCTCATTTGGAAGCTCAGAATCCCCTTGCCCAAGGAATGGCGCGAGCTGTGCAGCAACAGAATGGCGAGGATCGGAAATCGACCATGGTCTTCAACAGCCACACCGATGCCTCATTCTCTGGACAAGGTGTAATTTATGAGACGCTAGGGCTCTCTGGCTTGAAGTCGTATAAGACTGGTGGAACCATTCACCTTATCATCAACAATCAAGTCGGTTTCACTACAGAGCCCGAGTCTGCGCGTACGTCGTTTTATGTATCTGACATTGCCAAAAGCATCAACGCGCCTGTTTTTCATGTCAATGCAGATGATGTCGAAGCTGTCGTGTTTGTTTCAAAGCTGGCAGCTGAGTATCGTGCCAAGTTTGGTAAGGACTGTTGGATCGATATGATCTGCTACCGGAAGAATGGTCATAATGAGATGGATCAGTCTTCCTTCACTCAGCCGTTGATGTATGAGAAAATCCTGAACAAGACTACCCACTTGGAGCTCTATACGGGAAAGCTCCTCAAGGAAGGAGTTGTTACTCAGGAAGAGATTGAAAAAATGAAAGGTGATGTGTGGAGCAAGATGAACGAGAGCCTTGCGAAAAGTAAGGATGCCCAGCGTCTTGATCGAGAGTATATCACTGCCCCATGGGTAGATATGAAGCGTCCAGAAGAGATTTCTCGAGAAGTCTACCCTGCCGAGCTGACAGCAATCACTGCCGATGTTGTTAGCGCCCTCGCAAACAAGATGGGTGTCCCCGGGGAACCATTCACGGTGCACAAAAATCTTAGTAGAATCCTTCAAAGGCGACAGGAAACTTTGACACAAGGCAAGGAAATTGACTGGGCAACGGCAGAGGCTCTTGTAATGGGCAGTCTGTGTCTAGAAGGCCACCATGTTCGTGTTTCTGGCCAAGATGTTGAGCGTGGCACCTTTTCTCAGCGCCATGCAGTGCTACACGACCAAAAAACGGGGTCAAAACTCACTCCACTCGACTTACTCAGCCCCGACCAAGCCCGATTTACGATTGGAAACTCATCGCTGAGTGAATACGGTGTCATGGGATTCGATTACGGGTATTCCACTATGCATCCAAATGCGTTGGTGATGTGGGAAGCCCAGTTTGGCGATTTCGCAAACAACGCTCAGTGCGTGATTGATCAGTATATTTCATCTGCTGAGAACAAATGGCTGCTCAGATCTGGCTTGGTATTATCACTGCCTCATGGGTATGATGGACAAGGCTCTGAGCACTCCTCGGCTCGCATGGAGCGATTTCTGCAGTTGTGCAATGAAGACGCCCGTTCCTTCCCCTTACCGGAAAAGCTGGAGAGACAGCATCAGGATGCCAACATGCAAATTGTGTATATGACCACTCCTGCCAACCTGTTCCATGTTCTTCGAAGACAACTTCATCGCAAGTTCAGAAAACGTAAGTATTATCTGAAATCCCCCAAGATCAAAAGAAATATTGCTCACCAGAATTCTCTACAGCTCTTGTGATCTTCTTCTCGAAATCACTCCTTCGCCACCCCATGGCAAGATCAAACCTCGAAGACTTCATCGGAGACTCCGGCTTCAAGCCAATGATTGCCGACCCAGCCCACGGAAAAGCGATCGCCATGCCCGCTGATATCAAACGAGTAATCTACTGCTCTGGTCAGGTCTACGTGACACTAGAGAAGTTCCGCGAGGCCCACAAGATCACAGACACTGCCATTACACGCATTGAGCAGCTTCATCCTTTCCCTTGGCAGCAAGTAAAGGATAATCTGGCCAAATATCCCAACGCCTCGGATATAGTCTGGTGCCAAGAGGAGTCTCTCAATGATGGTCCCTGGGCGTTTGCTAGGACCCGACTAGAAACTATCTTTGATACAACCGAGAAACACCGGGGTCGTCGGTTGCGCTTTGCGGGGCGGGAGGCTACAGCTAGTGTGGCTACCGGATTCATGAAGCAGCACATCGCGCAGGAAGCTGCTTTGTTGAACGACGCTTTTCAATTGAACTAAATAAAGTTGAAGATATTCAGTTGAAGGAAATTTTGGAAATCAACTATTCTGTACATTGGATGCCTTTTCGGGCTCACGAATCACAAGTAGGGAAGTTGCATGGGAAAATTGCATAATATAGTTTCAGGAACACGCTCTTCGAATTACAATTGGAAAGAAAAGTTAATATATGTAAGTGTTTAGATGCACATGAAACTGAAGCAATAGCTACCATCTAACTCAATTGCAGAAATTAAGTAAAGGAACACAGGAAAACAGTCCAGTCATGAACAGAAAATAGTGCCGTCTGCCTGTTTCGCGTTACCAGGAAAATCCCGACCACCGGAAAGAGGAAAGCCAGCAATCTATATGCTGATCATAGCTATTTCAGGCAAATGAGGAGAGAAGAAAGGGGAAGAAGAGAGGATCGTGCACTGCTAAAGGCACTCGCCAATGGAGAAATTTGACGAGGTTTATCCTCTCCATCCTTTGGCGATGATAATTCCATGTGACGTAATGAGGGGAATGATATAAACGGAACCCGAGATCGCACACCGATAACACCTATCAGAATCTTCTAATTCAACGTTGTTTATGCCGGCCGCTTGTCCGAAGCGACCTTAGACCACAGCCGGGAAGCTCTACCGTACCATCAATAACTCCCTATCTCCGATTGACTGGTAAAATGATAACGTGGAATAAATAAGTTTGATTCCAGGTTGTTCGCTTGGTGAGTAGTTGCTTCGTACACTATATATGTATCCTGTTGTGATGGTATCAACTATATCTCGATAGTGGACTCAACAAGAAAACTACCAATTGAAATATTACAATTGACTAACAGAATACTGCCTTCATTGCCACTCTACCATGCTCCATGCTGTCAAGTGTCGGAGCTACATCCGCACTTGTATCTATGAGAGAGGGGACAGACGCCGACGGGATGAACCTGAGGTATGTTGCGGGGAAAGTGGACTATGTTGCTTTTATTACGTATCATAAATGGACTGTATCTTGTGGTAAAAGGCTATGAATGACTTATCCTGTAGAGGATTTGGTCCCTATATTTGCCGTGGCGTTTTGCTGCATTCCTGAGTGATATCGCGTCTTTAACCCCTTGATTGATATCATTCGGACTTTTTCTCGAACCTTTCTCGAAATATTATATGCTAGGTTACCTTTATTCCCACAATTGAATTCAATATCAGCGTGAATACAATGGACACATCTCGTCAACCTGAGTGGGATTCGGTCGATGCAGAGGCTGGGCCAGCCGATCAGAATCTCCATGACGATATGAAAAAGGAAGACATATACGGAGGCATTGATAATGATCCTTTCGGCAATGAAGAGATGGCAGAGGTGAAGTATCGAACAATGAAGTGGTGGTAAGTGTTCTAGCAGTCTGGAATATTGACGCTTGTATCTCACGAAGACAATGTTAACAGGCACTGTGGAATGCGTGAGATTACCCAAGCTATCGAAAATTATAATCTTCAGTCTGATATGGTTCACAGTGATGATTGCCGAGAACATCTCTCTGGGGATATTGTCTCTGCCCTCTGCAGTGGCGACACTAGGAATGGCACCGTAGGTATGCCCCATTGAGCCGAAGACCCACTCTAACTTTGAATGTATAGAGCGGCCATTATCCTTCTTTTCATGTCTGGCCTATCATGGTATACCGGTTATGTGATAGGTCAATTCAAAATACGGCACCCGCATGTTCACAGCATGGGCGATGCAGGCGAAATCCTGATGGGTCGAATTGGGCGTGAAGTCCTTGGTATCGGCCAGTTGCTTCTACTAATATTCCTTATGTCAAGTCATCTCTTGACCTTTACTATTCTCATGAATACTCTTACAGGCCATGGGACTTGTACTACTGTCTTTGGCGTCGTCGGAGTAATTGTCTGCTTCCTTGGCGCTCTCCCACGAACTATGGAGAAGGTCTATTGGATGTCAGTTGCATGTAAGTCTGACTCCTTGTTTATCATATGCTAAAGACTACTCTAATTCGATCACTCATAGCTTTTGTAAGTATCTTCGTTGCAACTCTGGTTACCATGGTCTCTATTGACGTGGAGGCCAACGGACCTATCCAAACCGAGACCGTTCGAGAGGTCAGCTTTTACAAAGGGTTTCTGGCAGTGACAAATATCATCTTCGCCTTTGGTATGTCGCCTATACTCAAATACACTCCGTTATTACTAACATATGTTACAGTCGCGCATGTCACATTTTTCGGCTTTGTCTCAGAGACACAAGATCCAAAAACCTTCCCAAAGTCACTCGCGATGCTCCAGGTTGTCGATACCATAATGTATCTCGTTAGCGCGCTGGTCATCTACCGGTTTGCAGGTCCCGATGTCAAATCCCCGGCTCTATCATCTGCAGGTCCATTGATGAAGAAAATCTGTTATGGCCTCGCTATTCCCACCGTTATTATTGCTGGTGTTATCTCTGGGCATGTTGCATCCAAGTATATCTATGTTCGAGTCTTTCGGGGTTCAGATCATATGCATCAACGTAGCTTCCTATCTATCGGGTCATGGATTGGGATTGGACTGGCGGTCTGGGTTGTTGCTTGGGTCATTGCCGAGTCTATTCCGGTTTTCAATGATCTTTTGAGTCTTATCGTATGATTTCGTCCCTTGATTTGCTTCCTGGTGATCTAGCTGACATTATTTCTACAGAGTTCTCTCTTCGGAAGTGTTTTCAGCTGTAAGTTTCCTCCCCTACATCAGAGGCTTCATAGTCAGCTACTGACAGGGTTGGTAAGACGGGCTTCCTGCCACCTTTTGGCTTCACATGAACCGAGGGAAATTCTTCTCGACTCTTTCAAAGAGCATCTTGACTGCGTGCAACATCGTTATAATTGGTATTGCATTTTCGATGGTAGGCTGATACTTTGATCGGATTTTGAACCATTTAACTAATTTTTGTCGTACACAGTGTGGGATGGGGTTGTATGTATCTGGAAGATCAATCAACGAAGGCTCGGATAGCGGTTCATGGTCATGTGCCAACAATGCATGATATGAAACTTGGATTGATAACAGACATTAGGAACATCATGGAATTGCTTGTCTTGGGAAATTGAATTAAAATGATTTATATGCTCGTATGTGATGGGCTATTTGGGGGGGGGGGGGGGGGGTTTTTTCTTTGAAATTGTTTGTTTTTGACATGTAAATCGTAATTTTGGCATAAAAGAAAGCTCGTTCCATCAATAAATAATTTAACAACAGTTTCAGAGTAGATGGTATTAGATCTGAACCGATTGCATAATACTGTCCACATCCAACTGATCCGCAAGATCAAGCAACTCTCGTGGTGGAAGGCTGACCGAGGAATTGAGTGCAAGCATATCCCACTCGAACTCATCCTGGTCGAACGTGTAAGTCTCTTCATTATTGTCACTGCCGTCACCCAGACTGGCTGCAGGCAAGGAGTGGTTAGTCAACCGTGGTGTCAAAGGTGCCAATATTTGCTCCAGCTGTCTCAATTCTAGTCGTCGAAGTGGCGCAGCTAGATTGCCCTTTGCAATGAGTTTATCTAGTACGCATTCCAAGTTGTCACACCACGAGTCGTTAGATATAAGCGATGGGGCAATCGCGCGGATCAAATATAAAACAAACGCAGAAGATGAGGCATCTTCGATTTGGAATGGTAAGAATGCATCTACGACCGTTAGCAAATCTCCCTTTGGGGAGGTGCACTGGGTGCAGCATACCCATCAAGTCGTCATCCGCCAGTGTACGGAGCGTTTGTAGAAGTGTTTGAGCGGATTCGGCGCAGCATTGTAAAAGAGACGCAACAGGCGGTGCTAAAGAAATAATTTGGGATGTTTGTCTTTCTGTTCGCTCTATGTGCATGTGCAATGCGCACATCACCAAGGGTCGAGTTGTAAGGACCACACACTACTAGTATGAGCTTTGATCCGCTCAAGTACTGTTGGAAGGACTCACATGGTGATGCGCTAGCATTAATCGTATTGCCATCTTTGAAGCACGGCTTATTAATCCGTGGAATTGGGTATTTAAAAATGCCGTGAGATCATGCGACAGTTCTGCCATGCTGTGAAGAATGGACTGTGTACTCCGAACGAGAGTATCATCGTATTCGTTGCCTACTCCGTAGACAGCTAAACTCCAAGTCAGTATTAGACTCATGTGGTATGGATTCACAAAACTTACTTGTCAAGATTCGAGCCATAAGACGCGAAAGTCGAACATGTAACGTCAAGTTGATATGTTCCACTGAATCTTCCATCTCTGCTGGTAATTTCACTGTAATGTCTTCATCACGAATAGAGCTCGGGGCACCAATTAGGGCAGAGAATTCTCTATCTAACATATAAACCACCCAGAATATTGTTCTGCACCTTTGAGAGAGTTCGGGTCCACATATTTCCTCTGGTACATGCCTATGTATACCCTCGATAATGCAACCACGCAAGGCTTGTCCAATCTATTCCATTATCAGATAAATATTTGAGCTGAGCGGTTTGGTTACTCACATGTTGAAAAGCTGCTCTTCTCATATCTATTGATTGAAGATATACTGCACCCAGACTAAGTGCCTGGATACAGGCCAGTGGATCTTCGTCTATGCCTGACAGATCTGGTAAGAGAGCCATAGCCCGTGAGGCATATTGATGACCAGGTGGCGTTCCGGAAGAGTTTTTCTGCGTCAGGAATGCCTTTCCAAAGGCCAGCACAAGGAGATATTGACAATACCAAGGCCTAGCAGAGGCAGCCTTGGCTGCTGGGTCTTTATAAAATTCATGTAGCTCTCGTAGATAAGCTGGTTCGTCAATCATAAAAGACAGAAATCCGAAATAGAATTTGACTGTGTTAAACAAAAAGAGGGCGTAGTCCAACGGAGGCAGGTTGGTGACATCGGGTACTTCGTCTGGGGGGAATGGCCGCCAATGCAACCTGAATGCAGTTCCATCAATATGGAAAGGATCAGACTGGAAGTTTGCCTCGGGAACCTTTCGTCCTATGAGAGCGAGGACTCGACGACAAAAGGACCATGACGATGTCGGCCCCATATACCCTTCAAATCCGCATTAGCAAGGGATCAGACGACACAATAGAATGCACACTCACAGAAACGGCCATCTGGTGTCTGTGCAAAGGATGGATCTCTGTCGACTAGCGGGTTACGTGAAAATCGGGATCCTTGAATATCATGCTCAGCTTCAGGGTCTTCATGTTCCCTGCGAACGGTCTCTGGAGTGTGTAGAGCGGCACCCAAGGCTAAAGTAAATGACGATTAGTACTGAAGGTTACTAGATAAAGCTGGGTCTCTTGGCATACCATTAGGGTTAGCTCTCCATCGAGTATCTTCTTGGTTTTCTAGCAATGCGTGGGGAGTGGAGGGAACATCGACATTGTCATCACCAGTAAATAGGGCATCACGCAAGGCATTAACTCCTAAGTTTCCATGCCGTACGGATGTTCCGCTTCTGGAAATCTGCTCTTCGAGCTCTCGCAAGTATCTGCAATGCGTCAGCATAGAAAGGCCGGCAAATTTCTACTACTTACCGTTCCGACACCGAGACCCGCACCTCCTCCACTGGAAAGTGGCAGTGCTTCTTCTTACGGGCACACCTAGTACAAGGACTCGAGCCCGAGCACTTGACTTTCATCGACCGACATCGCTCGCAGCTTGGAGAAGTTTAGCAGTTTGTTCTGCGTCAATTAGGGAACATATTACTCACGCTCTCTGGCACTTCTTCGCCTTGCCTTGGCTCGGTGTCACAGGCATGTCGGATTATATCACCGAATGTACAGAGGATGAAGACAGTATATTCCGGGCCTCTCTCCGATATGAAATGCGTGATGTAGTGCGGGGTCGAAAGTACAAAGTGATGCAAGTGAGGCTTATCAGTCGGGATGCCCTTCCGACTTTTCTTATCGAAGATATCAGTCACATGATTAGTACGACCCTAACTGATTTGGGTTTGATCTACTTGGCTTCGTGCATATTACAGGAGCTCAGGGCATAATATGACTGACTGTATTCATTGGGGTACATCGAGGTACTTCCACTAAATCCGGAGTTTATCCGACAATCCTTCGCCACAGCTCGCGCCGCAATGCGGTCATCATATGTTGTGTTCGCTCTACTGCACCACGATTCTCAATTGCTCGACGATGCAAATATCCCATACACTCGGCAACAGAGCCCCAGGTCATACATTTGAAAGCCTTGGGGACAGTCAAGTTTGCCGCAGTTAACTGTTCAAGTGCGCGTTCATAGTTCTGCACCAACTGACAGCTGAGCTCATCGGCCATTCCTTGAATCTGCCCACATTCCAGCATTATTGTCGGCTTGTTGGAGAGTAGGCGTTCCTGGTATGTAGAAATAGCCATCGCTGTACTGGCAGCGTTGTGGGTGGCAAGGAAGAGGGCAGCCTTTGGGAATGGAAGGGTATCGTTATCGGCAGGCATTCTTCGGCACAGCAGTGTGTCTGCAATGAGATTATATGACTGGTCCGTGTCTTTCTGGGTGTCATGGATGAGAGAACGTGTTTCATGCTCAATATACGCTCCTCGCACTAGCTTTATACCCAGCGTCCAACCCTCTTGGGCAGCCAGGGTAAGGTGGCGGTCGAGGTTTGCATTTGACCCTTTAAGGTAGGCTTGGATAGTATTGTAAACAATGGGGTTTTCTGCTTTATTGTGTTTCCGCATTGTCTCAAGAGCCCAGTCGTCAAGACCTTTCTGTAATACTTGCTGCTCGGCATCTAGCCAAAGACGAGAGCCCTGTTTCTCAGTCGCAATGCAGATCTCGTCCACAGCTTTGGCCATAGCCTCTGGCATTGGTTGACGTGCGGCCATCGCGTCAACGGCGACAGGGCCGGCACCAGTTAATCTAATAGAAATGAGTTAGTCGCTGCGCTTTACATAATATTGAAGAGTCATACTTCACAGCAAGGAAGTCACCTGGCCCAACCATGCGCAGTGTTTCCAATGTACCATTTTTCCATTCCTCCACCATCTCATAGCACCGATCGCTGTATTTTGCCGAGCCATACTCATCCACAGCAAGCTTTTCATTGTGATCTAGCACAATCTCTTTGGAATATCCCAAGATGACACCCTGATATCCAATTTTCTTGACATCCGCCACTGTCTTTGAGACTTCTTTGCTATTTGTACCAGCACAGAAATGATTGTATACTGTCCATCGAAGAAGCTTGTTCAAAGGGAGGTTTTTGTCTGGGTTCAACAATGTCGCTTTCGATGTTGAGAGGACTCTAATCAGGGCTAGTGCGGGTCGGAGGAACAATTTCGATGTCATCAAGGAAGTAAGGAGCAGAGATCGCAGCAGAAACCTCGTTGGAAGTCTAGCCATAGATGAAACCTCCAGCGGTGACTTAATCGTTGAACCGATAGCTGAATCGTGGAAGCTGGACTTGGTTGAACGGAGTCGTCGACAGGCTATAATTGATGTCTTGTGTACCTGTGGGAGCCGAGGCCATACTATACCGGTAGTTCGCGATAGCATATTGACTTGATAAATGAGGAGAATGAGAAATAGAAGAAAGTTGCCACAGCTGTCCTCAATCCGAGGGAACTGACAAACAGCACCGCGTTTGTAGATTCCGAGTTGGGTTTGCCTGGTGTTATTTATCATAACATTTTCCTTGCCTTCTCGGCTTTTTATCAGTTCATGCTCATTCAAATATCTGTTCCCGATAGTCAGCCGACCTACTGTCGGGGCTGTCCTCCGACATGAGGGGTTCGGGAACCAGGGATCCTATCCCACAATGCCAACACATCTGTCCCTCGGAGGGGCTTATTACTATCATGTGGTGATCAAGGTATCTCGTATGCTATTTTCGCCGTAGTGTGTCCCGGGGTTACATCGATCACCTTATTTATGTATAATTGCATGGGGAAAGCCAAGGTAGCCGGCAGATTGACAAGGGTCCACATTTCGATGCTGCGATACATTAACACTGTGCATCGGTGTGTCTGTTCCACCAATTGAATCTTTTCTCTTCTAAAGTCCTCGGAAATACCAACCTGCATGGAGTGGGCTTTCCGATCTCTGTTAAGCAGTTCACACAGCCAGCAAGTTGTCTTGACTGTGAAATTAGTGAATAATTGTTTTATTATACAGTATATTGGTTTAATTGTTGGGTTTGGTGCTTGCTTTCACAAAGGCAACCCCGGTTCAAAGACTGTCCATATTCTGGTAACATGTATGTCTCTCGACACTTACAGACTTGTGCAAAATGCTGTCCTTTCTATCTTATAAAATAAGCTTTAACTTTATTCAATCCGATACCCTCCCAGCGCTTGTAGCTGTGCCTTAAAACAAATTTGGGTTTCAGCAACGCCGCACTGGTGGTGAGAAAAGAACGAACAATTTTTAACAAATCATTTTAACAAAATCTTTGACCTATACTATATCATAATATACTCTTCACACCTCATTCGAGGGATATGTGACCTTTTCAAGCGGAGCAAACTCCTCCTTGATTGTGCGAGTGCTAACGAATCGCTGCAAATGTGCCATGGTGCCGGTCTTATCGTTCGTGCCTGAGTCTCGGCTACCACCAAACGGCTGCTGTGCAACAGTCGAGCCAGTGCACTTGGTGTTAAGGTAAAGCATACCTGCAGCATGCTTCAAAAAGGTGGAAGCCTGGCGGCTCACGTATGGATCCTTCGCGAAGATACTGCCCGTCAACGCATAGCGAGAGGTTGTGTCTAGCAACTTCAGTGTCTGCTCCCATTCGGCGTCGGGGAAAACGTAGACTCCAAGAATTGGTCCGAACAGCTCTTCGGACATAATCTGATGACGGGGGTTGAAAGTCCGGTAGATTGTCGGGTGTACATAATAGCCCTCTTCCTTGGAAGCCTTTCCGCCAACGATAAGCTCCAACTCGGAGTCCTTCTTCGCGGTCTCAATGAAGTGGTTGAGCTTGTCAAATGATCTCTCGTGGATGACCGGGTTAATGAAGTTTCCGTAGTCTTCCACATCTCCAACCTTGAGCGCCGCAGTCTCCTCTGCCAGGACCTTCTTGAACTCCGGCCAGACAGACTCCGCGACATATACACGCGAGTTTGCAGAGCACTTCTGGCCCTGGTACTCAAAGGCTGCACGAATGGTGTTCAGAGCAGCGCTTCTCACATCTGCGGAGGAATGAACGATGCCCCAGTTCTTGCCACCAGTCTCGCCTACCACTCGCGGGTAGGAATTGTAGACGCCAGCACCAATACCATCGCCAATCTTCTTCTGAATTCCCTTGAATGTGGCAGTTGCACCAATGAATGTCAGAGCCCCGAACTCAGGTCTCTTAAGGATAGTGTTGGTGACCTGCTCGGCGTCACCAGGTAGGAACTGAACAACATCTTTAGGAAGACCAGCTTCGATCAGAATCTTGTGGAGTAGCCAGCTAGCATGGAGAGCCGAGTCTGAAGGCTTCCAGATAACGACATTTCCGAGCAATGCAGCCGGTCCAATGAGAGTAGCACCGAGCGCAGTAAAATTGAAAGGCGCAATGGCGTATGTGAACCCTTCTAGTGGACGGTACTCCATCTTGTTCCAGCTCCCAGGAAGGTGGACTCTGGGTTGCTGGGAATACAAAGACCATGCCTCTTGAATGTAATGACGGAAGAAGTCTGCTGTCTCTGCGGGAGCATCAATCTCTGCTTGCCAAATGTTCTTTCCTTGACCTAGCATGGTTGCCGCGACAATTTCTGAGCGATATTTTCCGGTGATCAGCTCGCATGCGCGGAAGAAAATGGCAGCTCGGTCTTCGAACGGTGTGGCTTCCCAAGCAGGCTTGGCCTTGAGGGCTGCGTCAATGGATGCATTGACTTGTTCTGGGGTGGCGGACGCGTATATTGCGACAATTTCGCTATGCTTGGAGGGATTCAGTTGAGACCGCGACTCTTTTGTTTCGATCTAACCATGCAATTCTTAGTTTCGATTTCTCTTAAAATGCATGCCTATTATTGCTATGTAGTATACCTCGGATCCATTGATGGTAATGGGAATTGCGAAAGGAAATTCTCCCTTGAGTTTTTGGATGGTCTTGGTCAACTCTGCTCTTTCCGGGGAACCTTTGGCGTAATTCAACTGGTTGAAGTATTAGCGAGGGTTGAGTAAAAAGCTTCGTATACACGCACCATCTTTTCGTTCTCGAATTTGGGAGGACTGAGCATGGTCAAACATCTTCGTGAAATCCCATTGAGAATAACAGGCTTGCGGCAGTTGAGCCTCGCTGCTCGCGTCAAAGTGGTAGGTCTCATGGTGTAGTTGCAACTGAAGGTCCTCTTCAATTATTTCCAAGATTGCTTTTCTGAGTCAGAACAAGGAAATGAAGCTTATGGCCCATGGAAGATAGTTAAATATTCCGGGTGTCAGTAGCTCTTGCATGAAGTATACGTACTATCGGGAGGCCATCCCGACAAAGTTCTGAGCGGGGAACCTCTGTATACAATGTGCACTGGTCTAGAGAATGTGGATATTGCACCGGATCTCCAATGTCGGAGAACTTACCCGACTGTAGATAAGAGACGCAAGTCCCTCCGCGGGGTTTGCATGGTAACGTCTTTCATGGCTCTGTGGGCCTGGGTAGACAGTGGTGGGCTTTGTGTCGCAACGGAGTACACCAGGCTGTCGTAAACCGGGGCCTACATAATGCCGAGTTATCGAGAGGGAGATACAAGTAAGGTATCTATAGGAGCCTGAGAAATGATGCAACCAGCGACAGAGATTTCTGCCCCAGGCACCAAATCTCGATGCTTATTTCAACCATCCAACTTTCCAATCTGTAGAGTTAAGGCAGTAAAGAAGCGATCGTGTGATCGGGACTATCGGGACTAGTGACACTTCATACAACCCACTGTGGCTACATATGTATGTAGGTATCTAGATCTCAAGTTTATCCATAAGAACCAACATTAGTGATTCTTAAAACAAAAATCTACAACTCTGCAAGATCGCTATGCCATAGATGCTGATCTCACCGCCCTTTGGCTAATTAAAATTGGATCCAAAGCTGGATCTAAGATCTCCAGGTGTGTGCTTCAGTGCGGGCTTCTACGTCGATAATATGAGCACTAATATGCTTAGAACCTCGTACAGGCCTGCGTTGGTCTGTAATCTTTGCGGCTATAACTGATCAAGCAATGTGAAAAGAAATCCCTGTATGAGTCTTGGAAAACTGCCATGGTGAGTTGAACTCAGGGTATAGATATGTTTCCCGTCGCTATATATATGCTCACGGCAACAGCTCCATCGACGGATGCTTGGCGTCCATCGGAGTGTGAAGGACTATTTATCTATTATAGATTGTAAAGAATACCATACTGAATGAGATTGAACGACTTAGTAGACAATAGAATGTTGGAGTAGATGAAGGTCTATAAGAGCTGCCTAATCGATAGGTATAAGTGGTGTAGACTCCAGCTAAAAGACGAGAGGCAATGGACTAGGAAGCAGAGGACAAACAGGGGAATTCTACACACACCAAGCAATTCATGAAAATCCTCATGCTAGTGAACATTCTCCCCTAGTTATGACAATAGATCAGATGTACTTGGTACGGAGGGCTTGGTGATGTAACCCCATTGGCCGAGGTACCGGTGACATGGACCCGTTATCTCCAGACTCGCTCCTCCTCAACTCCTACGTTCTTAGCACTTGGCAAATTGTAAGAGTCTTCTGCTCTTCCTTCTTTGCAATTCCATTGCGTTCAGCGCGACGTGTCGGAGTCTGAGGTGGAGATCCCTGTAAACGTTCGTGCCACCACCCCCCGAGCTCCGCTTGATCGTCAACATCGTCATTGCCATCACCTCCACACCTGATCCCGACAGCTCCTCGGCGCAAACATCTTCCCTGATGTCCTTATTCGGCACATCACCAGAAGATCCCTCCACGGGTAATGCTGCCCAGAGATCCAAGTCCTCGCTCTTCGCCGACGAGCCGGCTACGGGCGGGTCTTCGTCTCTGTTCGCAGATGAGGACGCCGACGACAGCTCCTCCCCGTGGAAGATCCAGAACAATTCCGCGAAGAGGACTGCGCGACGCAACCTAGTCCGAACCTTACTTCCTGCCACCGATGTGCCCGAGAGCTATGTCGACGCATACGATCTGATTCTGAACAGCGGGGACAGGGTTGGCTCTGGGATCGGGCTGACCTCCGTTCGGGAGATCCTTTCGAGCAGTGGGCTTACTGCAACTGATCAGAGCAAAATTTTAAATCTTGTTTCGTCCGGAGATCATGAAAGCTTTGGTGGGCTTGGTCGTGCCGAGTTTAACGTCCTATTGGCCCTGGTCGGTCTAGCGCAGGAAGGCGAAGAGCTATCCTTCGATGCGGTCGACGACCGTCGCAAGAGTGAGTTATTTTTCATATCCCTTCCTATAATTTTCCCATAGTGGCAACTGACTCAGTTTGCGCATGTAGAATTACCCCAACCCAAGACTGTTTATCTCGATCGACTACGAGCTGCCGGCGATGCATCCTCGGACCATCCTCACCGACCTGTGACTCCTCCCTCCCAAGCTCCCCCAGTGCCAACACCCGGCTCAACCCATTCGCGACCCGCACGACGAGAGTCTTTAGGCGGTTTGGAAGCAGACCCGTGGGGTAGTCCACAATTACACCGAGGCCACAACCACGAGACATTGGACGCTGAACAACGGGCATTGAACGGTTACGGAAGCGTGAGATCTACGACGAACACCTGGTCCAGCAAGGCTGTCGAAGAGGCTCATCAGGGCGACACAGTTGAGAGGGGGCCTGCCAATGGTCAAACTGAGGTACCGCCTCCCGGTAGTTCAGGGTCAGGATGGGGACACAACCTTAGCAGTACAGGCCCTAATCAGCAGGGTGGATTTGGAGGCGTTGAGCGTCCGGCGCTCGGTGGGTTTGGTCCCCTAGAAGATGACCCCCACGAGATCGCGCCTCGACGTCGGTCCCTCGGTCTCAGCCGCTCAACAAACCCCCAAGTAGAGGAGACTGTTACAGTGACACTACTCCCTGAGAAAGAAGGGTTGTTCATGTTCCAGCACCGCAACTATGAGGTCAAGTCTGCTCGGAGAGGCAGCACAGTTATTCGGCGTTATAGCGACTTCGTTTGGCTACTGGATTGCCTCCAGAAACGATTCCCATTCAGGCAATTGCCTCTTCTTCCACCCAAGCGGGTTTCAGGTACGTCTAACGCTGGTTTAAGCGCACCTAATTGCTTACTCACCTTTTGAAGTCAATGGCACTCACCTCTCAGCGGATTCAAATTCCTTCCTTGATAAGCGCCGCCATGGCCTTGTTCGATTTACCAACGCTCTCGTGCGCCACCCCGTTCTTGGCCAGGAGCAACTGGTTGTTATGTTTTTGACTGTTCCGACGGTGAGATTTCAAATGTTCAATGGAGGAGACATATGTTAATCGCAAGAATAGGAACTTTCGGTATGGCGCAAGCAGGCCACGATCTCTGTCCAAGACGAGTTTGTTGGCCGTACCCTTCCACCAGATCTTGAAGATTCATTGCCTCCGACTCTCGACGAGACGTTTGAGACGGTCCGTAACGGCGTTAAGCGATCCGCCGAAATTTATATTAATCTTTGCACTTTGCTCGAGCGTCTGAGCAAGCGAAACGATGGCTTGGCTGCCGATCATCTCCGGTTCTCTCTCGCGCTGCAGTCCTTGACCGAAGTCACAAAAGACACGTATGCAGTCGACACCAATGACATTCCAGCCCTCAATGAAGGTATCACAGCTACGGCTCGGCATCTCTCTGCTAGCCAGAGTCTGCTTGAGGATGAAGCAAGAGGGTGGACTGAGGGGGTTTTGGAAGACCTGAAGCGTCAGCGCGACTGCTTGGTCAGTGTACGCGAGATGTTCGATCGGCGGGACCGATATGCACGGAACAACATCCCGCAGCTAGAACGACGCATCGAAACCAACGAGCGTAAGCTGCAGGACCTTCGCGCCCGACCCGCAGGTACCGCGAAGCCAGGAGAAATCGAGAAGGTGGAGGATTCTATATTCAAGGTGGGATTGCTTATTTCAATATTATCTGCAGTGATGCTAACTCTCCATGTCTCTTAGGACAAAGAATCCATTGTGCAGCAGCATGCGCGGGGCGTCTTCATCAAGGAATGCATTCGCGATGAACTCGTCCATTTCCAACAGAGCCAGTACCATATCAGCCGGCTGCACCAAGACTGGAGCCAGGAGCGTGTCAAATATTCCGAGTTACAGGCGGACAACTGGCGTGGCTTGAGTGATGAAGTTGAAGGGATGCCGACGGGCGTCTAGCTGGGCAGCGTTGGGCCCCTGATGGGTCGTACATAACAGCTCACCGGCCAATTTGACACCCAATTTTGGCTTCGCGCGGGATGCGCATCGTGCATTTGATTATGGTTTTTGTTTGCTTTTGTTCTCCGACTTCCCCCGCAAATACGCATGTTTCACGATGTTAGCATTGGATTCCCCAGTTTGCAACGCGCCTGGGACCTGTTGTTCCTTCCGGTCTTTGGTTTTGATCTGGTGCATGTGTTTATTGCGTTACAATTCCCAATTGATTCCCGTTGTCGTATAAGTTATGTATAGAGTACGATGTCCTAAAAAGGGCCCGCATACGCCTAGCGCATGTAAAGCACGATCCAGACTCGTAAACCCCGAATCTCAGTTAGCGAGACAACTCCACCAAAAGAGGAGCGCCACTGACCCAATAACCACGCTGATCCCCAATTTTGGCCTTGGCGCCTTGCAGGGCTGGCGATCTTGGCCGTGAATTACCAAACGTGACCGGGATATTACTGCTTACAAGGTACATACATATTCAAACTTCCGGTACATTGCATTTATTTGTCTACCAATGCTTTCTCCTATATATATTTGCCTCTCTCCCCTTTATAACTGTGCAATTATCCCTATTGCGCGCGTTCTCCCTTCCGCCAGCCAAGACCTGTTCCGCTTCCGACGTGGGTCTCCAGTTCTGGGCTGACGAATCCCGCCGCTTCCAAGAATACTTCGTCCTGGGCAAATCTCCCCAAGCACGCGTTGACTCGCTTTCTTTGCCCGGCCAAGAGTCTCCCAAGACTTTGACCAAGTCTCACTGGATCTTGTCTATTTCTTCTTTCTTTCCTTTCTCCTTCCCTCCTTCCTAACCTGCAACTGCCGGACCGTCTTCCCTGTATCGGCCAGCCACCCGAATTCTCTTCGCTCTGCCTAGACGCACCCTCTCCGCTCGTCGCATCCCCAATTTCTTGGCCAGAGTCGGTCTGCACCCCGCGGATTGTACTGTGCCGGTCATCTCCGAACGTGCTGGACGTGCGCCTGGATCGCGGAACACAAATCAGCCCTACGCGGCTCGGCACCTCGGACTTCCGATTACCGATTCACCAAGGCATGAAGAGCTACGCGGACAAACGAATTGTGAGGCGGGAATTCAACCGGTAAATCGCTTGCTGCAGTACGACGCGCGAGTCGACACATTACGAAGCAAGGGAGAGTAATACACCCGGTGTCAGATCTCCGACATCTTCATGATGGCGTGGGATCACCTTGATATCGACAAGCCGCATCTGGCTTACATGATCCTCGGCGGTTTCACAGGTCTGTTCATGCTGTGCTCCCTTTTCGTGAAGGAGAAACTGTACATCGGTGAAGCTACCGTTGCCACACTTTGTGGTATCATTTTCGGCCCCCATGCGGCCAATCTATTCAACCCGCACGAATGGGGAAACATCGATAAAATCACCCTTGAGTGTTCGCGCATTGTACTTGTTGTACAATGTTTTGCCGTCGGCGTCGAGTTGCCCAAGGCCTACATGGAACGGCACTGGAAGTCCGTCACTCTGCTGCTGATCCCCGTTATGACTTTCGGTTGGCTGATCACTAGTCTGTTCATTTGGTGGATGGTACCTCCACTAAACTGGCTGGAGAGTCTGGTGTGTGCTGCCTGCGTTACGGCTACCGATCCTGTCTTGGCATCGTCCGTCGTTGGTAAGGGAAAGTTCGCCAAGCGTGTGCCCAAGCATTTGCGTGACTTGCTCTCTGCCGAGTCTGGGTGTAACGATGGCATGGCTTTCCCATTCATCTACCTATCTTTCTACATCTACCACTACCGACCCCATGTCGGCGAGGTGTGGTTGAATTGGTTCTGTATCACTGTTCTTTACGAGTGTATTCTGGGTGCCATCTTCGGCTTCACCATCGGCTACGTGGCGCGTCATGCTATCAAGCTGGCCGAACGCAAGGGCTTGATTGATCGTGAGAGTTTCTTGGTGTTCTACTTCGTGCTAGCCGTTTTCTGTGCTGGTTCAGGTAGTTTGCTGGGTATGGACGACTTGCTGATTGGGTTCGCTTGTGGTGTCGGCTTCAGTAATGATGGCTGGTTCACGGAGAAGACTGAGGAGTCTCACGTGTCTAACGTTATTGATCTTCTGCTGAACTTGGCGTACTTCGTTTACTTCGGATCCATCATTCCGTGGGAGGACTTCAATGCCCCCGAACTCGGTCTTACCCCGTGGCGACTGGTGGTGATTGCGTTATTGGTCATCTTCTTCCGTCGCATTCCTATTATGCTGTTGCTCAAACCGATTATACCAGACGTCAAAACGTGGCGTGAAGCTCTATTTGCGGGGCATTTTGGACCCATTGGTGTCGGTGCTATTTTTGCCGCTATCCTCGCGCGAGCAGAACTAGAACACGATACCACACAGCCGTTGCCTGAGAATGAGCTCCCGGAGCCGGGGGCCAGCAATTACTACATCGTAAGACTTATCTGGCCTATTACTACCTTCTTGGTTATTTCGTCTATCCTGGTGCACGGCTCGTCTATCGCGGTGTTCACTTTGGGCAAACGCATTAACACATTGACCATTACCTTGTCATACACCCAAGCCAACGAGGAAGGACCATCATGGATGAACCGTCTGCCCCGTGTGCAGTCGATTGCCAAGGGCTCTATGTCATTCCGCAAGGCGGATGACACAGATGCCTCCTCGGATGAGAAGCTGCCTGAGTATCCTCCTGGTACACTGCCGCCCATTGGAATGCCAGGCAACTTCCTTCGCCGACAGCGCGATGAGGAAGAAGACGGTGAGGCGCAAAACCTTGAGACTACTCGTCGTAAGCCCCTGCGGAGACGCCGCCGCAAGCGCGATACCGGCGCTGGAGGTCCTATTAGCCAGTCTGCTATCATGCCAGCTCCCCGGCGCAACGAGAACGAGGTCGAGACCGGGGAGGATAAGAAAGAACTGGAGGAGCGTGACCGCGTCGAGCGGGGATCTTCTCCACCTCACGCTGAGCGGGATCGCTTCGGCCGTGAGCCAGAGCTTGAAGTCTACCAAGAAGGTCACAACATGGTCATCGAAGACGAGGAGGGAAATGTTCTCAAGACTGAGGATACTTCCCACCTGTCTCCGGAAGAAAAGATGCGCCACATTGAGGAGCAGCGCAAGCGTCTCGAGCATGATAAATCAGGCGAACTCGCAGCCTCTGAGAGTCGACCTCACGAGAAGACCGAAGGAGAAGAGATCAAGCAGGCCGTTGAAGAAAAGACAAGTCTTTCGTACGGAGATGCTCTCAAGAAATGGACTAATTGGACCGGACTAGGAAAGGAGAAGGCGAAGGACGCACCCGAGAGGAGGGAGAAGAAAGAGAAGGCTGAGAAGCCTCCTAAGGCCGAGTCTGCAAAGCCCAAGGCTCGTTCTGCCCATGCGTACCAGTTTGGTAACACTATTATTGTCGAGGATGAGGACGGTGAAGTGATCAAGAAGTACACCATTCCCGCTGGCGAGAAGGGTGACAAGGCTCAGAAGGAGCCCACTGTTCCTGGTCAAGCCCCAGTTCGCCGTGGCCTGAACCGTATGGGAACTTGGTTCGGCATGGAGGACGAAGGCGAATCGTCCCAAGCTGCGAACGAGAAAAAGAAGAAGTCTCAAGGCCCTGACGAGTGGACTGCCGACGATGGTCTGCGTTTCACCGTAGCCCAGGACCCCGAGGTCAGCTCCCACGGCATCGGCCACAAGGGTAAGCGCATGAACAAGCAGGAGTTCTTCCAACAAATTAAGGGCTTGGATGCCAAGGCTCGCCGCGATCTGGTGCAGGAAACCGACGCTCCACCTCCCGTCCAAAAGGTGGCCAAGGAAGAGGCCAAGCAGGAAGAGAAGCAGGAAGAGAAGCAAGAGCGTCGTCTCTCTGCCGCTGCTGTCTCGGCTACTACTGGCACCATTCCTGAAGAGGACGCCGAGGGTCTGGAATCCGAGTCGGTCACTGACAGCGAGAGCGAGGATGGGTCTGACGACCGTCGCGGTGCTCCCAACGTGGCTTCATCTTTGGCCAAGTTCTCGCGTGGTGGTACCTCCGCCGCTCAAGAGCGTCGCAACAACCTCAGCCCTGCACCTCCTCTCCGCGAGCGACCTCGTCGTGATTCCGATGACGATGGTACTGAGCGTATCCCACCTTCTCGTCTGCGTCAAGCCGCCGGTTTGACCGTTCCTCCTCGTCAGGATGACGACGACACAGGCGAAACACCCGCTGAGCGTCGCCGTCGTCTGGCAGCTCTGGGTGTGGATGGGGGAGACTCCGAGGAAGACACCGACCTTGAATCTGTCGATGATGATGAGGCCGCTATTGCGGAATCTGACATCGAAGAGGGCGGCGAGGCTAACCAAGCCACGCCCAAGACCCAGTTCGCCGATGATGGGAAACCATCCGAGCAAGAGAAATCCTCCCCATCTGGCTCTGGATCCGGTTCAGGCTCCCAATCTGCCTCCCTCCACCGTCCCCGCGTCTCCTGGGGAGGCGAGAAGGGACGTAACCCTTGAGCAGCATCGTCGGATATTCAGAAAAAGGAGATAATTCGATGAAAGGCCTTTTTCACAGCTATATCACTTCTATCTCTAATAGTCCTCTTTGAATAAGAGCAGAGAGCCCTCCATACAAGTCTGTTCTTCCAGCGAGTCACTATTGGAAGAAATTGGATACGTGTGTCTTTCTGTGCAATCTTGCTTCTGCTTCTGCCCCTTCTACCATCATCACTGTTTCTCGCAAATTCATGTATTTTCGCATTTCATCCTTTGTGCATATTTGCTCCTGCATGTAATGACCCCGTTTGATCTTCGTGATCAACTTGTCTGACTGTGTTGATATGATTTGTTATTGCTGATTTGCGCCATTATTGCTAGAGCAGAGCAGGTTTTATCCATACAATGCATTACTGATATGAATATACTCTGGATTCTGAAGTAGATGGAGAATCTAGTCTAATGTAAGACGAGAACATAGCGACTGTGCCAACCAACACCACCCCCTTTAGCCCTATATACCGCCATCCTATACCGCCGTAAGAGAACGCATCACGACGCGATGTGCCGAACACCTTACCTTGAAAGCATATCTACACCCTTCCAAGACCTTCCAAATTTTTATATCCGACCGAAGAAATGGGACGAGCTAAAGGCGCCCAAGTGCTCAACCAAGCGCAGGGACTTCGCTAAAACTCACTACAGTAGTCCCTTCTGTGGTGCTGTAGGATGATATTCGATTCCGGAAGCCGACGATAGCAATATATTTTTACTTGCCGTGCGCCGGGCAACAAGGCAACATGAGAGAAGTATGTAGGAAATTGATGTCTATGGCCGTCGTATCAAGCACTGAGCAGCACTCCAATTGTCACTGCTATGTAACTCCATTATTCAACGCTAGAAGTAATTTTCCACAGTTTAACACAACTTGATCTATTGACAAAGACCTAGGTATCAAGCAAAACACTAAACGAAGAGTATATATAACAAGATCAATCGAATACTAACGGACATCTACTCCATAGTACTCCGCGGCCGCATAACACCCCTCCCAAAGAACTCACTCACAACACCAAACCGGTCCCTCGAGCGGGATAACTCGCCCTTGAAGAGATCATGCTGATCAGCAGAATCGACCTGTCGTTGCCGTATAGCACGTAGCGTAGCATTTGTCGGGGCACAGACGGGACACTGAGCGTCGTCGTCGACATTGTTGAGGCAGCGTTCGTGGAAGGAGTGTCTGCAGAGGAAGTGGACGGTGGGCAGATCTAGGGTTCCACCGCAGGATTGGCACCGGCGGGATTGGAAGACTACCGGTTGGGTGGCTAGATGGTCTAGTTCCTGTTGTTTGGTGGCGGTTTCAGTTTTGTAGCTTGTTATTAGGCGTCGGTTCTAGATTGGGTATGATGTTAGTCTGATTTAACAGGATAAGGACTCGTGTTTAGGGGAACGTCACTTACGGTTGTGATCTCTTTGCGTTCGCGTTCGATGTTGTCGCTGAGGTATTTCTTCACACGGCCCATTGTTACGACTGCGTTGTTGCTTAGGGCCTGGATCACTTGCAGTGGCGAGAGAAGGCCGTCTTGATTGATTCGTTGTAGCACTGCGTCCAGCTCGTCGCCTGCTTCTTCAAGAATTTGCGGGCTCGAGGCGAAGTATGTCAATGCATCGACGTAGAGTTGCGGTTCGTCTGGGCCATAGCGTCTCAACGCTTTGATGGCGCCTTGGGTATCCTTTGCGGATGTGAAGGATCGGAAGATATCCAGGCGGAGACCTTCTTGTTCGCGGACAAGAGTGGATCCTTCTCGGAAGTTTGACAGGTCGGAAAGGAGCAGCACATTTGAGGTGGAGATCGGAATCTAGCCAAATTAGCTATCTAATATCGTATGGAAAAAGGGGGAACTCACGTCTTTTCCTTCGATAAGCTTCTTCGCTTTTGTCTCCCATTCCTGTCTCTCGCTGGCGTCTTTCTTTCCCTTCGCTGTGTCCAAGTACATTTCGAACAACGTGGTGAATAGATCCACTTTGGCTTCGTTCGTCAGATCTGGTTTCTGTGCTAATGTTTCGAGGAAATCTATGAATTCCTTTGGGTGATCCACAAATGCGGAGAAAGCTGTTCGAGGCTTGGGAACTTCGTAGTCTGGAAGCGAGTCTTCAGCTTGATCTTCATTTGCTTCTGCATTCTCAGTTATTTGGGCCTGGGGCTGCCTGCCAGTGCCAACGTTCATATACCGCAGAGGAAGTAGTGCGGCAAGACTGTGCATAGTGCTACTTGTCTGGGCTTGGGGTTCTGATGATGTTTCGACCTCCGTGCGTGGTTTGTACTGGCCAGCATAGTAAGCTTTGAAGAGCTCTGCTGTCCTCTCAGGGCAATGAGCGAGAAGAACTCTGGCATATTTCATCAAATTGTGATAGGCCTGTCATGTGTTAGCTCAATCTCCCTTGATTATTGATCTCAACATACTACTTCGGGCTCCAATCGCCAAATGTATTCCACCGCCTCGGCATATTTCTTGGAGTCTTCAATCAAGATATCCACAACCATATCATTTTCACCATGTTTCGTTGCTAGGTATGCTGCTTGCTCGTGGTAGCCCCCCTGGCGACACATGGCAATTGCGGTCTCAAGATCGAATTTGAGCTCACCAGGAGCCTTGATAAACGAGTCAAGCTTGCTCGTGTCTTTGAGCTTCGCATAGCAGTTCAAAAGAAGTGTCGTGTGATCAACTGTGGCATGGCCATGGTCATGTAGTTCTTCCAGATACTCAATTAGGTTGTGAATACGTTGAGTGTCGAGATACTTTCATGTAGTCAGTGATAGAACAGCGTGAAGTCACAGTTATTACTAACCTTGCGAATAACTTGAGATGGCTCCGTGCTATCAATTGCTCGAAGATATTGCTGCATGGCTGTATCATAATCGCCCCGTTGGTACAGGAAGTCACCGTACTTGCGGTAGATGGCATTCTGTTGCAAAGGATCGATGCCAATCTTTTGCGCAAGGTTAATTGCAAGAATGTAGAGATTGCGCTCATAAAGAATCTCGAGCTTTTGCTGGAGGCTCTTTTCCCGATACCGGAAGATCTGAAAAGAATGTTAAAAAAAGTGGTATGACAGATTATCATGCAGGACACATACCTTGCCATCTGTTGTAAGGAGGAACAAATTCCCCCATTCTATGAAAATCCGCTTCATGGGCGACACCAGCGCTTCACTATGCGCGATAAACTTCAGATCAGTATCGAGGAGCGTGAACGTCGTGGTTCCAAAGATTTCCTCGGCCGGACTAGCAGTGTATTTGCGCAACGGATCCGACTTGCCAGTACCGGCCTTGGGCGGACAAACCAGAGCCACGTAGTCACGGAAGGAAGCAATAGACGTCTTAGGACTTTCAAACGCATAGCTCGCACCACGACCACGCGGACCGTAGGTGTAGACAGCATCCTCCCTGGCAATCAGGATATCTCCAGCCTCCTTGTCCAGCGTCATACATCCCAGACCGCAGCCCGTATCCTCCAAGACGCGCGCAGGCTGACCCTGGCCTCGCCCGGCGATAACCAAGGTCAAGATTCGGCTTGTGGTCGAGATGAACAGCGTAGTAACGGCTCCAATCTGTGTTTCAAGTCCAGTAATGGGCTCCTCAGATTCAAAGACAATTCGCTGGCGCGCACCACGATCGTGGATCAAGTCGCCGCGGATGATCGTTACGGACCCGTTCGCAAATCCGACTGCCACCTGTGAGAGATCTCCAACGGCCGCGAAGGCGGAAATCTATTATAATAGTTAGCACATACCGCTAGCTTGCTGCAAGTGTCAAGCGCACCGGGAACTGTCGCCTAGCATTCTGGACCGAGACCGTGGATAGACACCGCGGCCCGCCGTCCTTCTTCTCCGTATCCAGTGCCCAGACTTTGAGAACTGGTTCATTGGATAGGTCCTCCGAGACCGTAACAAGTAGGGCAGTGTCGTTGATTTGTCTCATATGCGTGATGGAGCCGGTATCGTGAGCTTTAAATGATCGCACGACGCGGAACGCCGAGGAGACGATGTGGACGAAGCCATCGGTGGTGCCGACGAAGATGTTTGCGGAGCCGGAGCATATACTCGAGAGATCGCTCTAGTGCAGAACTGTTAGACTTGTTCGGGTTGGTAAAGGGGAGGTCGAGGCCGTACATTGAAGATCGTTGCGCTGTCCTCTGGTAGCTTCACCGGCGAGACGTCGATGAAGTTGAATGCTTTCCACTGTGCAGCTGTTAGACGCGATTCAAATTATAGGAGTTTCATGTCCTTACTGATGTTAAGGCCATCTCGGCTCGCCATTGATTGATTGCAGTTGGGAGTGATGCGGTTCGGAGCTCTCCCCGCTGGCGCTCGGACCACTTGGTTCCTGATGTCGATCCGTTGGAACGTCTTCTATACGGGTGTTGGCTCATTCGTTGCAGGATTAACAAGGTCTATTGATATTTCAAAAATGCTAGAGTATATAGTACAAACTGATATAGGTTATTCCACATTTTTATGGGCCATTGTACCCAAATTGAAGAAAAGTCTGCTTGTCTACAATGTTCCAACAGTATACCAAGCAAATAAAGTATGTGATTCTATCGAATATACCGAAAATATGCCAAGAGAATCTATGAAGACCTAAAAAGGAAAACGCCTTCGCTACAAAATGCAGCTCATAACATGCTGTACATGAAGATGGAACAGGAGATGGAAAGGAACAAATGTGAAGAATTAACATGGAAACAAAGACCAGCCCCCAATCAGGCTCATCGAGAGATATCCATATTCAAAGTAGGCTGAGGACCTCCAGATGTAAGACTCTGACTGGGTCGCCCAGTATCTTTCACAAAATCAAAGCTTTGCTGGAGCCAGCTCCCAGCATCTGCAATGGCTTGGCTTAAGTTGAAGGTTTCCGCTCCCTGCTGGGCACCTTGGCCATCTTGTATTGTTGGCGGTGTTGACCCGGTAAAGGTAATTGGGAATGATGCGTTCGGGGCAGTGGATCGGAAAGTAGGCGGTCGATCCGATTCTTGGCTCGCTAGTCGCTGGCTTCCTCCTGCTGGACCTGATTGGGCAGTATTGTAATCATTATCGGGCCCGAGAGAGCCATTACCAGGCGAAGGAAAGGCATCTGCGATATGGGCGGTCTTTTTCTTCTTGGTACTGGGTGTTCCGCCGAAATCCGGCCGAGATGCACGCGGCTTTTTCTCCGTGCTGAAGGTATACGGTGTGGCTGCGTCGAGCATGAATTGAGTACTCATTGCCTGCATCCGGGTTTTGTCAGGTATGAGCGGGCTCATAGCTCGATAGAATGGGGTAATATTGGCCGAGTAGGTGGCACCGTCTGGAGAGCTCCCTGCTCGGCGCTTTTGGGCTGGTGTTGCTTTGTGGTATGTTGGGCTTTCCAGGTCATCCTGGAAAGACTTCTGTGCATGCAGGAGCGCAGCCTGGGTCGAAAGCTGCGTGTCGATATCGGTGTCCATTTCCATTTCGCTATGTTCCTTTGGCAAGAGCGTCGAGTGTAAGGATGTCATACGATCTGAGATCCCCAACGGCGCTGGTACCGCCTGTGCAGAAGGCAGATCCTCACAGGTATTCTGCTCAGTAGGCACAGAGTGGTCGGTAATTTCGTATGTTGAAGTGCCAGCATCTTCTTCATCTGCAAACCTAAGGTCCTTAGACGAAGTCTTTTGGGTTTTATCTTTCTTTGGAAATGCTTTATCGACAACAGGGGCCTTAGTGTGAGCCTCTGTTTCTTCAGATTGTGGTGCTTCGGAGATAATCATACCTGCCTGTTTTTTGGTAGGACTGGTAGATGGAGAATTGCGAGGCATGTCATGAGGAATGTCTTCGGGCGTGTCGTCATACAAAACAGTCTCTTCCTGTAGGATGCTTTCGTCGTCCGAAGGTGATTTCGGCGGTTCATGCTGGTTAGATTTATCATGAAGCCACGGGCGATATTCAAACCGTGGCAGCTGAGAGGAGGAGGAAACAACACGAAGAGACATGTCCAGCGAGATGTTCTTGCTCGGAGAGATCTTTCTATTGAAAGGCGACGACTTAGAAACGGTTGGTACAGGCCGCGCAGTTGAGCCAGCGGAGCGGGAAGAATGAAGAGATGAATGACAAGTAGAAGTAGAGTCCACAGCAGCTGGCTTCACCGTGTCCTTCCCAACAGGGCGGAATTTCGTTGGAAAAGCCGGGGTTTGCGGTACCTGCACTTGAACAGAGCGAGGTGCAGGACGACGGGCTCTATTTTCCAATTGACGAGAAGCAGCTGGTATCGTCGGAGAACTCGGCGGGTCAAACTTGGTAAAGTTCATGCGCTTTCTATCCTTTTTCAACCAGTCTGCAGTCCCACAGGGAGCGAACGATTCTTCATTCGCTGCCGAAGAGGGTAGCTCCTTGACTTTGACTGGGGAACGAGATAATCTCTCGCTCCGTTCACTGTGCTGTAGCCGTTGTATAGGCACAGAGTGTGTTCGTCCTGATCTTGAATTCGAAGAGCGCTCCCCAACTCGCATGGAGCTTCCAGCAGGCGAGTTCCATGACGTGGCAGGGATCTCGGGGCGACTCGTCTCACTTGGCAGTCTCTCGGAATGCCTTCGAGTGCGCAAGTCAGTCTCCTGCACCACCTTCTCCGGGACGCAGGTCGGTCGGCTCAACGAGGCCCTCGGAGCAGGTGCGCTGCCAGCGCGCGCTCGACTCTTCCGCCATGGATTAACCCATCCATCCTCCAAAGGGCCTCTCAGCGACGCGGAGAGAATAAACAGCGGCTTCCCCTGAAGATAAGACTCGGCCAATTTCTCAACTCTTCGGCGCCTCGCATCTCGGCCAGCATCGTCTAGTTCATCGTCTGAGCCGAGCAGATCGTCGGGATCTATATCGAATGGCGGTGGGCATTTTTCGAGAGAAACCGGGGAGACTGGCCGCGGATAGGGCATCGGGATTGGATTTGAAGCTCGGCGGACTTGGTTGTTCTGGGTGCCGCGGCAGTCGGATACTGCAATGAGACGGCTCGGGGCGTGCCTTGAGGGACTTCATTCATTTCTTGCGCAATAGGTGGCCTTCCATGTGATATGTGGTAGAAAGGCGTCTGCCACAAGAGGTGCAACGCGAAAAACCACTTAACGCGTGTGGAGTGTTGATGGCCTAGCAACGGAGGGGAAATATTACGTCAGATATGGTTATCTCAGCAGACCAAGGCCAATTCTATCCTTTATCCTCCGTGTTTTGCTATTCTATGATGAGACAACCGGGTAGATAGTATGCAGATCGTGAATCTGGGTAGTTCTAAATAATAGCCTTGAATCTGAAATTCAGTTCAGGTGATTGGGCCTGAGAAGGAGGGCCATACGAACAGCATTTGTGATCTATCAAAGCGACTAGGGCACACTTCAAATACAGATGTACACAATACGGACATACCCGTATAAAGTAAATTATATTTACGTGAAGTAACAGGTGAAGTAAGTTCAGCATAATCAAACACCAGCAAAATAGGAAGAGGCATAATAGAGGTGATATAAGAGGTTGCACACTAGAAGTTTCAATCACCGTATCGCATCATAGCATCGCGTTGTGAGAAAGTGAGAAACAAGGCCTTCCTTCGTAAGTAGCGTCAACGTTAATTCCGAACACAGTCAACAATAACTCTATCTAAACACTCAGATCACTTCGACCAGGATTGAAGCGCTACATGGATAAGATCCCTCTCGGTGTATATCAGTATGTAAATCCAAGCGTTGAATGTCGTCGAGTTGCCAAAAGCACCAAAGACTAGGCATCGAAGTTGAGCCGAGTCTTCCAAAAAGATCATGAACAATCCCGGCTTCTAACTGTAAGCGAAAGCATTAGAGGAGTGCACGTGGAGTAAGATAAGGGAAAATAATGCAAGATGATGGCATGGATATGGACATGACATGACATCGGCAGCCAATTAATCTAAGATACAATAGGATGTGATTCAAACCAGGGTATCAAAGCCAAAGCGGTCCTACAGTACGCAGCACGTGGATATGCAAGACTGAAGGTCGAAGGGAAGTACGCATTTCAATCGATGAAGCGTTAGTGAGAAGATGCCATTGATTCTTTATTCATGATACACGCCGCAAATATAAGAAAAAAAAAGGGAGGGGATAAAAAACAAAAGCAAGTTGACACATGGGAAGTAAGAAAATAGATAATCGAAAATAAATGGCGAAATCAAGATATTGGACATTCAAACAAGGGCGGGTCATTAAGTGGTCATCAGAACGGAGTGCTCGGTACGCTCCTTCATGCGCATGGCCTGGGCTTCCAGAGAGCGGGCCATTAATTTCGTCACTGAACAGAGATAGCATGTTAGTTAGATGATAGATAGTGGAGTGGATATGGAACTGATGTGGTAACTCACCTGGCCAGACAGCAGCTCTATCCAAGAGACTAGCCGTCGCAACCAATATCTTACAACCGTATCCCCCTCCACGGCACTGGGTAAGCGCTGCATAACACTCAACGCAGACATGGAATTGCTGCCTTGAACCTGGCGCTGCATCTTGTTCTCGATACTGCTCAGAATCTCCTTGATCTTATCGACCAGCTTGCAATCCTCGTCTTCTAGTAACATGACACCCGGGACTTGGGTAAGATCTGTATCATCGCGGCCTAGGATACCGAGGTATGGACCGACACGTTCTTGAACGGTTGTGATCCACTCTGCCAGTACCTGTGCGCAATCAAAGGCACACATGGCGCACTGGATGGGGAGCTCTCTCGACGAGAACTCGGCAAAGGTATTCCCTAGACGGTCGGACATTGATATTGAATCCGCAGCGTAGAATGCTGCTTTGCGCAGGTGCTTTTCTCGCTTTGTTTGGCCGGTTTTGTACATGTTCTGTAATGACTGCAGTGGTTGGTCTTGCGTTGGGGTATTGGAGATGGCTAGGTCGGAGACGCCGAGATCGGCAATTGAGTCTCGTCGGGTATCGATGTGGGCTGTGAGAGATGGGTCGACGACATCATTCATTGTTGCGTCTGGGTGTTGAAAGATCTCAGTGCCACGTGCAAGTTCATCGGCCATGCCGTTCCAATCTCGCTGCCAGAATGCTTCTTTGCATCGGCCTAGGTTCACGAATAAGCGCACATAGGCTAGGTCCAGGAGAGGGATGCTATCGGCGGATAGTGGCCCGGCACCGAAGGGATTCGGGCGCTCGAGGCTGTGCACTGGGTTACTGGCCCATGCTGCTTGCCAAGCCCGTAGAGCTGGCTCGATATGTGCTTGCATAGCATCCGTCTCCTGGGCGGTCCATTGTCGGCCCATGTGTCTTTGGCGAGTTTCCCAGATGTAGTTATGTAGAGAATAGATAAGCACCAGACAACCAAAGGTACTTGGTCGGTTTTCGGAATTGGACAGATCGTCTTGACCACCGAAGAACAGATTTGATGACTGACTCTGTTCCCTTTGACTGGCAGTCAGGAGAGATGTCAGAGCAGCCGAGAACGACGATGTCTTCTGTGATGCAGTTTGACCGCCCATCTTTTTCCACGCCTGGGGTGACTCGGCCGCCCATATGTCTTCTTCGCAAGGGAGATCAAGGCGAATTTCTGAGTTGGTGAGTGCAGGGGCATGGTTATAGGCAGAGACGAGGAAGCTGGAAAGAACGAAGATGGCATAAAGGGTACGCTTGCGTTCCTCAACGACCTTCCAGTTCAGCCAGTCTCTTCGCTCTTTCGGTTGATTGAACGAGGGAGACATCCAGTTGTCCGAGTCATTCCGAGAATCGCTTCCGCTTGTTGGCGCACTGAGATGATCTTGCGGCAAATTCTTAGGATCCAGGTGATGCGTCAACTCGGCTGCACGTGCGAGGCTGACCAATGCAGCACAATGCGTACTAGCAATGTCTGCAGACGTCTTATCGCCACAAGTGTGGCCGTAAATAACATTCAAGAGCATGGCTTGGACCAGCCAGAGAGGAGTGTTGTGAACCGAGTTATCGCGCGAGGAATTCGACCGATTGAGTGCTGCAGACATGTCGGCCTTTCGCCGTTCTTCGAGATACAACTGGATCATCTTTTTCGCGGCTTCAAAGAGATCCTTGGAGGCAGCGGTGTCATATTCATACAAGGCACCAATGGCAGCCATAGAGAGAATTAGGCAGCCTCCGCCTCCCGCGACGCCGGTTGAGCTGAGGTTAAGATGTCCACTCGGCGTGCGTAGGTTGTTCGTATACTCGGGAGCTTGGAAGTTCAGGGTCGGGATATGGAGAAACGGGATGTGGGGATGGAAATAGGTTATGTAGGCCGAGATGTAGCGTTGCAAGTCGGAGGTGCTGGGTAGTTGACCGGAAGTGTTGAAGCCAGTCGAGGAGCGAAACAGCTCGCGACTGTTTAGAAGACCAGATGCGGGCTGGGAATACTTGCGATGATTGAAGCCATTGGGGGTCGACATGCTCGCTAATAGAGCCTGTCGTGTGGAGTCTGTAAATGTATCCGTTGAGACTGGGGAATGTTGATTTCGAAGGGCACTATTCGGGAAAGGAACGTTGAGAGGATTAGGAGATTCTCCGTTTGTTGCCAGAGAGGATGGAAACATACTCTGCGAATGTCCACCAACGATGGGTTGGCCGACCGAGGTCATAGATGGAGGGGTGGCATACGTCTCAGCAAAAGGATTCTGGGCCAATAAAGACTTGGGTGATATGGTCTCTGGTGGGATCCCTAATTCGTTCAACGTTGTCGGAGAAAAATCGAGGGCGAACTGGTTGGCGTGCGCGGGGAACGGATTGTGCCAGCCATTCGAGATGGGAATGCGGTTCGGGCCATCGAGCATGGCCTCGCTGATTCCGCTCTGGCTACCCGTGCTCATGGCTGATGGCGAGGACTCGTCGATGACCGAGTCATTACCATTGCCCATCACCATTCCCGCGTCAAACCCGTTCATCCAGTCAAAGTTCATCTCCTCGTCCATCATGTTGTCCGCCGGAGCATGCATACCGTTGGCATAGTGACCAAAGGGAGATGAGGGGGAATCATTGAAACCATGTGGGGAGCCTGCGAAATGTAATTGTGCTGGGTTGATGGTGCTACCATGACCCATGAGCATACCATCGATGCCCGCGTCGAAGCTTCCGTATACCGGAGCAGTCCGAAGGGTACCAGACATGTCCATGGGAAGCCCGGAAGTCTCGATCTTGGAGAGGCCGTTCACTGGAGGGTGTCCAGAGCTGAATCCCCTATAATCCATGCTTGAGCCAATTGAAGAACTGAGGCTGGGGTGATAAGAGTGGCCTGATTGGGGTGCGGATGACGGGTTACCAGCACCGGGAATACCTAATGCTGCCCCATCAATGTGACTTATGGTGTTGGCCCGCGGGCGCATGGAGGCGGATGAGTTATTGGCAATTGAATTTTTGCGAACTCGGTTGGCACCGGGCGCAGCACCTGTGCTCTCGCGACGACCATTTCTGGGACGAGACGACGGCGTGGTGGTCATGTGCAACTTCTGCTGGTGTCGCAGGAGGAGATCGCGGCGGGCAAAGCATCTTGCGCAGTCTGGACACTCGAACGGCTTCTCCTTGGTGTGCGAGCGCTCGTGGCGCTTGAGATGCTCCAGTCGCGCAAACGAGCGACCGCAGGTGGTGCAGACGTGGGGCCTCGGCTTGTCTGTTTTGGGGGGTGGAATGCCATTGGCCGTTTGACCGTTGACCTCCTTCTTTGAGTCCTTCGGAGCTACAGATACGAGTAAGAATTCCATGCGGGAAAAGGTCTCAGCCTCACTCACCAGGCATATTTCCCGGAATTTCGTTGATACTGGCGAGATCGGCCACTTTGGGACTATGGTCTGCTTGTCCGACCATAGCATCCAATAGCATTATAGGATTTCCGAAGCTCCTCACAAACCAGAATGACTGACTAGTGAGAGAATTGCGGTGGGAATTGCTAAAAAGAGATGTCGGGTATCGTAGAGGTCGCGTACGTGGCGGGCCAGTTTATACAATGAAGTGAATCTGTGCCAAATGACATCAAGTCAGCATGTGTCTCGTATGATGCGTCGAAGGTGTTATCACAGCCAAGGTACCGAGCGTGGTTATGATGAACCTTTGCTGAACGGAACTCACCAATTAAAGAAGCAGAAGAAGCAAATTTACAGGTCTATCGTATTCCTTGTCCGAGGGTATCTTGACAGGATAAGAGGACCTGCGGCCGGTATCGCGGGATGGAGGCTAGCGTTGACGTCTTGAGGTCGGACGCATCAGCGAACCAGTCCAGGCTGATAGTTGCGCAGCAGCAGAGCCCGAATAGATCACTCACATCAAGTCGTCTCAGTTAGAGTGAATCTGGAACGATCAAACTCGCGCATCCATTGAGGGAATTGTTACAGCCTGCCGTTGTTGGGTTAAGCCGGAGATAACAGGACTGATAGACAATGATAAGCCAGCAACGACGACAGACGAGAGACGATGGAAAGTAAAGATGAGGAAGGATGAAGGAGAGAGAGTTGCGAGATTGCCTCCGAAGCTGTAGAGTAGGTACCTGGTAAGTGGGCAGTAGTAAGGGAAAGTACTGGGGAAGTACCCATCAGGAGGTCCGAGTGGCGATGCTAGCCCAATACCACTGTCTGAGATACACCGGGGGTACCTGCGAGGCAACGGCCTCAGGGCGATGGGCCAGACGCCGCATGGGACGGTACCGATACCATAGTGGGGCCAGGACACGGGGTTATTGACCAATGAGATGGCCACGATTACCTAGGGTGATACCGAATGCAGCGTAGAGTGAATCTTATACACACGCACGGGCAGTGCCTGTTTATCATTGCCTGGTAACGACTAGTATGTGGCCTGAGTATCCTGACTATAGTGCATTTGGTTGTATGGCATTACAATACACATGGGCTGATATCGGAGCGGGCCCGAGTACCAGCCCGGTAATAACCGTACATGTAACATGCCCGGTGGTATGAAATCATATATGTCAGCAGACCTCGTGACAACAATTCGAGCTCAGACCTGGTTTGATATTCATTGGTTTACTACATGGACTTCTCATTTCTGGGGCTGAGTCGCCGGCTCCATAGAGGACAGGACCATGCGCCATTTTTGTGGGGGAAGTCAAAAATGGGTTCGTGTGGGGGATTGCCCCCCATCCCGTCCAGTCAAGTGGGCGTGCCCGTAAGGGATATCCTCCGGTTCCTAAGTGCAGGCCACGTTTCGTCCAGAGTGGCGTCCCAACAAGTGGAAATTGGGACATTCCTTTTTCTCTTTGCCCCAGACTTTCGGGTTGACAACCCCGGAATCTGGCATATCTTTCTAGAATGCCATTTCCGTTCGACCACACACGTTGCGCCACGCCGTTTTGAGTTTGGGTACACTCCAGCTATTGGACTTCCAGCCGACCACCGTCGGATCTGGGGTTACCACGACGATCCATGTCTGACAATGCGGATCAATCTCGCCGAGACTCCGTGGGCACACGGCAATGGCAATGGGACAAACGTTTCTTCGTCCGGGCTGTCCGAATGCGCCCCAGGGTGCCCAGAGTGGTCCCAATTTTATTTTCCGTGGGGATGTTTCTCTTCCGAGGCTATTGTCCGTTTCAGTCGCACGGACATCTCGTTTGCAGAATTCCCCCAGACTCGACAACGGCGCTAGTCGAACTAGGACACTAGAGCGAATCTAAGAGGGCTGCAGGTGACCCGAGATGAGTCAAGGATGGTCGAGCGACAAATGAAACGCTGCGAGGATCAGCCACTCTACTTGGGTTGATCATCGGGTGGCACATACATTATGCTTAGGGGGAAATAAGCTGCTTCAACATGAGGTGCCTGTTTGTAATATGTCAATTGACTACCTACACCTTCAGCCACAATATACCGTACCAATATACCTATATACCACACCAAGACCAAGATCACCGGCGGGCTATCGTTCAATCCACCCCAACACCGGTGTTCAGGCAACTAAACAAGACATGTCTTGGCCGGATTTTTGAAGCATCGTTCAACGCTATTCCTAAACACCGTTCAATATCACGCAAAGCAAGACAGTTCCAGTCGACAGTGATTCCTACCAAAACATTTAGTTCAAATCCGCCCACACTAAAAGCCAAACCAAAAGCGCCCTGGCCTTCCCCAGACCAATCCCCAAATGCAGGTCCAAGAGCATGAAGAAACAACAAGCTCGGACACAATGCCGACCTCCCATTACAGTTTACAGCAACAGGAACAAGAGACGTTGCCGACATTATGCAGCACCGTACAGAGTACACCAAGTACACTAACCACCTCCAGGTGATTAACCCATCCCCAAAAGGGAATGCCACTGGGACATCCCTGAAACTAGCGCTAGTCAACAGAGCGCCGAGTCGTCAAAAACGTTACTGCGTAACCGCGCTTCGCGGATGATTTCTCGTTCGTGTATCATCCGTGCAACCAATATCCAGGGATGGGAGGTTACTACTATAGCGATGATAGTCTAGTCTCGGCGTTGGATCTCACTTTGCAGACGCTGGATGGAGGACTGCATACATAGAGAGATGGGTAATGTTAGATTACAAGCCATGAAACACTGACATGGCTAGACGATACCATGGGTAACTAGTAACCAGTAAATAGTACCTAGGCGTAAGTTAGTATAGTAAAGTAATATAAATCTACAGTATCAGGCAGGGGTAATGCCAGAAATTCTCCGAAGTGGCCAGTGCTGGGGGGTGGTATGTTTATCCGGATATCCGACCGGTATTTGTGAAGAAAGCCTTTCCATTTCGAGGATCACATCTGGTAGGGATATTGATGCATCACTACAGACTAGTAGTATGTATAGTATAGTGCTCCATATCCGGTCCCTGGTCTGCGGGTGGCCCTTGACTATGGCCCGATCCGCACGGTAACTAGGAGTAAGTTACTTAGTACATGGAACGGTCTACTATAACGCGAAGTCAGGGTTTCCTCGTATGGGATATGTAGCCCAGTACATTTCATTCGCGATGAATACCTATACTCAGGGCCATACCCTGCGGCTCTGGCTCTGACTTTCTCTCCCTGTGCGTCATTCAGGTCCACATGGATGACAAGGACGGCGTGGGTATATGTACCAGGATCCATAGATGACCTCAACGATCAACGAGACAACGCGGCATTCGGCAGGGGATCAAAGAGAGAAAGGCACTAATTCATTTAGACAGCCAATACAATATATTGTGTTGCATCCACCGTCGTCATGGCAGTAATGATACATGGGATGATTAGATTATTGTAAGACTGCTTCTGCAGGAGGCAGACAGTAGGGTGACAGCCACGGATGATCAGCGCCGAGTGGCCGAGACGAGGTACTGTAAGACGGAAAATGGAACAAGAATATTATACTGTAATACTATACAGTACCGGGAAATCGTGAGATGATATTCCGACACTACAATGTAAATGGCGCTGGATCGTCCAACCAGATGTCAAGCTGAAACGCGGAATCAGACAGCAGATAAGTTGGGAGTGGAAATTCTGTCGGACTCGGCCGCAGGCGGATAAGTATGAGGTGATAAGTACATGGACTAGCTATCGTCGCTAACTTATGTCTGTAGATAAAGTTAATGATGACTGTGAATAATTAGACCTATTGATTTATAATCTAGTTATCGACTTTGCCGAGTAGAGCGAAATAATCAGGCGACATCGAATGCAACATTAGATTGTGCAGTATGCGTCGGAAAGCAAAGTCCGCACAGGCGCCAAAACATACCTAACTGGACAATCGAGTCCCTGCGTGGACGATCAAAGTTTAGAGTGGGCATATGGTCGGATCGGACAGGGTGAAATGCTGCCAATTGCAAGGCTGCTGTGTGTTCGGGCCTACATGTACCCAGGAACCTGTAGGAACAGTCCACGGGAACATCGTGGAAGTACTGTAACCCAGTGGCGCGAAGACGGGATGATCCAGCGCTAAACATCCAATGTACCGAAGATATAATTAGTGTTCGGCAGGAATCTGCGGATATGCGACTCTAATCATCGAATAAACAAATTATCGAAATAAGTCGGCGCTTGATGATAACGGGACATGAATTGCGACATTTCCCGAGAGGCTGGTGTAAGTTACAATACGCCATAGCTGTACTATAGTATGATAATTGGACAGTGATATCAGAAGCCCCGGAGAAAAGCCGACACAAAAAGGGAGCTATTTTAGCCCTGTTTCGGTTCTGTGAAATCCACAGAACATGCGCGAGAGTAGTTAGATCTGATGTGATTGACGGGGCTGGGCTCAAGAGTGCATTAGCTGTATTATCATGGTAACTTATGTATGGACTGGAAGTAGCGGACGTACATTTTCCTCTAACATTAGAAGGAGTGGATGTACATGTACATCTTGGGATTGGATAGGAGCAGACTTCGCCGGCGTAGATCAGATCGTGTGGTTTTTGTATTTGTCTTTTTAAGGGTTACAGTACGTTGTGCCTTGCGTATGAGCACAGTGGTATGCGGCACAACACTGCACACTCCATTTGGGACAATATACCCACGCCACCAGCTTACTGGATACACAAAGTGCCGCTTAAGGTATGGCGTAAGTATGCAGTAGGTTAGCAATGTACAATACAATCCAGCATGGATTCATTTCTTTCCTATTGTCTCTATTCTCTATATTCTACTGCTGTCTCCCAGCAACACAAGCACAACAGTACCCTGTCAGACATAAAAATGCGCTCAAGCAAGTATCCATCGGAACATGCATGTCATACCTGGGCCGTTACACCCACTCTTCACGCCCTCTATCCAATCTAAATGCAAATTATAAGTCCTTGATACTGAACTGGCATTACAGCCTTACATGTAACACATGTACATGCACCAATGCGCAAGGCTCGCACTGACACCAAACGATCAAATCAAATCCTTCCAAGCTCTCGCATCGCCGCGATGCACAGCCTGAACCTCCATACAAAAGTCGCCGCCAAGGTCGATCTTCCATGATCGACTCTCAACCGCCAACGAATCCATCCTCGAAGCAAATGCATACATACGTACATCATTGGTTTCTAAATCGGAATCGAGTCGAGTTGACAGTAATATGCTACATGTAACTGAACTACAGTAATAACTGAACTACTAATAACTGAACTACTAATAACTGAACTACTAATAACTGAACTACTGTAATACTAGAAAGATAAAACAATCACCCGCCCCCATCCACCAAAGGATCATTGAACCGACTGGCCAGCCAGCAACGGTCGCACCCGACTCGGCCCCAAACTCGCGCCGAGCGCAGTTACTGTCGACAGTATTGTAGATTAATGGCGCAGATCTAGCACGGTCCATTCTGTGGCCATAGTGACTCTGAACTAACTTAGCTGCATATATCCCTGTTAACGCCCGGTACTGTGTACATCAGTCCCTTTTCCGGGCGTCTTTACACGCTCTGACTTGGTAAAGTGTGTAAGTGCACCTGTGTGGAATAGTGTATCGGTGTGGAAGTAGTGGTTATGGAAAGAAGTCCGTTACTGTCCAGGTGGACTGGTCGTGAACTGGACATGCTAAGTATGTTTTGCATTGCAGGAAATTGCCCCTCCATAACCGATAGCTCTGGCCTCGGCTGAGGCGGAATTGTGGAGATAATTCCGCTGAGCTATGGGAGCACTGGAGAAAGCGCTCATAGAGATTCACGCTGGAAGCTAGACGGATATTATAAGTCGAGATGACCGTTTTACATACAGAATCATAGATGAATGGAAAATCTCTATTTACTTTATGTTATGCCAAACTATAGACATCTTTTTCGTCACCCTTACCATCTCAAGGGTCCAACTCCGGGCGTAATGAGCAAAAAATCCACAGAATTCGAATGGTATATGAGCAAGACATGGCACATGAAATTCCCGAGTCGGTCGGAGCGTAGATACATTTCGTCGTCTAGACACTGATGGTCTTGAAAACACTATAAATGAGTTAGTATTGTTTGAAAGACATTGTGCCAGTTGCACATACCTGAATCCATTGCTACCGGTCGCCATAAGCGTACCGGGCATCTGTGCCTGCCAGTGGACCTCCTTGACAGATTCCATATAATGCACGAACAGAAGCTGCGAAGGAATGTCAGCCATATTGGCCGCGCGGCTCTCCTCGTCGTCTAGCTCGACAGCCAGATCCCAAAGGGTGACAGTGTTGTCGGCCGAGCCAACGGCCACCACACTGTCGTCTGAGGGGTGCCATTCGATACTGGTGATAGGCTCCTTGTGGAAATCGAATGATGCAACGGGGGTGGAGGTAATCTGGGCAGAGGGCGCCGCGGCATTGGGCTTCCAGTGACGCAAGTCCCAAACAGCCCACTGTCCATCATCAGCACCGGTTGCCAAAAGGTGAGCGGTCTGGTTAGACCAGGTCATGACGTTGACATCGGTGTTGGACACCTGAACGTCCACAGCGGGCTTACGCGACTTGGATCGCACATCCCAAACCTTGACACTGCCGTCGCTACTGGCAGATGCGAAAACGTTGCGTTCGTTCGGAGACCACTGCAGTTCTTCAATTGAGGAAGCGTGGCCGGTGAATGGGCGGGTGTCGGTGACCCAGCCGCCGCCCTCGGTGCGGGTAGTGGCGTAAATCAATCCGTCGTTGTCACCGGTCAACAGCTTTCCGAGAGGCTGGAGAGGGGACCAGTCAAGCGCATAACCCTCGGTCTTGTGCATGCGCAGGGTGGAGAGAGGCTTGGAAGCTGAAGGAGGAAGGACAGTGCCGGGGACATCGAAGCTGGAAAGGTGGGCGGTAACGTCGTGGATAACCACCTGGGAGTTCTCCAGCATGGTCGCGGTCAAGGTCTGTGGAGGCTTGGAGTAGTCTCCGGACTGAGAGGGTGTTTGGTGGGTGCGAATGCGGTTGGTAGTTGAGCCCAAAGGAATCGACTTGTGCTCGAGGATAGGCTCTCCCATGTCGTCGTCGTCCGAGTCGCTTTCTGAATCTTCACCCTCCTTCTCCATCTTGCTGAGACCACTCATCTTGAGGACCATCAGCTCATTATCCTTCTGTTTGGCTCCCTCTGCTTGTGTACCGGTGACAGCGTAGACAGTGGCGGGGTACGTCTTGCGGTTGTCACCGAGTGTGTCACGGACAATGTCGAAGGAAAGACAAGGCCAGGGCGTGCTGAGTGTGTGAAGCATGTCGTAGGTAGAAGGATCGGGGGATAGCGTCTCGCCAGGTGCCAGTTTTGTCCGTCCAGGAATGAAGGTTTCCTTGTCCATATCCATAGCTTCTATAAAACGGTGAAAAGTCAGTTAAGCCACACTCCTAAGGTACCTTAGATAACATAAGGACAATGCGAACCCTTTTCTTCTTCTTCGCGCTCAGCATCTGGGCGACCATCGACTCCAGCCTCTAGGATCTCGTCCTCACTCTCGAACTCGTCCTCGAACTCGTCCTCGAACTCCCCCGCTTCGTCCATGGGGACCTCTGCAATTGGCCGCTCACCGGCCTTGAGAGCAGTCTGCTCATCGGCCTCAGCACTTCTCTTAGACATCTTGAACCCGCAAAAACAACAGAGAAGAGAGAAGTGTAGAGTAGAGGGGTGTGCGATAAGAACTTTTTTTCCCGTGGATTTTGGCAAGAAAGGTGGCGCTAAACCTATCGCGGACTAGCGCCAGATCCCAGTGCCCGCCTTGAGCTGAGGGTGTTTGGCCCTGGACGATTTGGACGTTAGATATTGGCCATTTGAGATTCGTTTCCGGTCTGATTGTTTGTTGGCCTCATTTCAGCCACCTTCCCTCCTTCTCTCGTGGCCCCTCGTCTTAACTCCGGATTGTTTACTTTCAGGGACAACTCCACCTCCCGACATCAACACATCTTTCTGCCTCAATTTTCTCGACGCAATCCCTTGCACATACTGCTGCGTATGCAATTCTGCTAGATTGGGCTGGAATTTCAGCACTTTGGGTCGGTAAGTCGCCCTGGCTCCTAGGACTTCGTCTTACTCGTGCTGACAATCAGGGCGCGTCCCACAGGTTACACCTCTCAAGTCGACTCTGATACAGATCGTAAGCGCCAATATGGAGTTCCCTCAGCAGCACACCTTAGAGGCTCCTGTTGCTCCCGAGGCCGCCGTTGCGGACCCCGAGCACGTCGCCCCCGAGGATCACACACCACTGGCTCAGGAGCACATCCAGGAAGCAGTCCAGGAACAGGAGGCTTCATCCGAGCAACCTCTGGAACAGCACGCACCCGTCAGCGTCAACATTGAAGAGCCCGCCTCTGATCACACTGCTCGCGCCGCTATCAACAATGGCTACAACAGCGACTCTAAGGCTCACTACCACTCCCGATCCGCGGACTTCCATCACTCCGCCCCCGAATATCCCGCTCAGGACACGGATCAGTCCACTCGCCAGAATTCATCCCCCTCTCTCAGCCACCAACTCCCTGTGCCAAACTCCAGACCTGGTTCTGGATTCTCCAGTGGTACCGAGCGCCCTGGTGTTTCCCAGCCGCAACAGCAAGAAGTTCAGCGACAGGGACAAGGCTCGCAGGCTTCGAAGAATAGTGTGGTGATTAAGGTTGGCATGGTGGGTGATGCCCAGATTGGAAAGACCAGTTTGATGGTTAAATATGTTGAGGGAAGCTGGGATGAAGATTACATCCAGACATTGGGTATGTGAATTACGTCCGGTCAAGCCTCACCCTTCTAACAATCAGCCAGGTGTCAACTTTATGGAAAAGACCATCTCCATTCGAAACACAGAAATTACCTTTTCGATTTGGGACCTTGGTGGCCAGCGTGAGTTTGTTAATATGCTGCCGCTGGTCTGCAATGATGCCGTTGCGATTCTGTTCATGTTCGATCTCACTCGCAAGAGCACCTTGAACTCTATCAAGGAATGGTATCGCCAAGGACGTGGATTTAATAAGACTGCCATCCCATTCCTAGTTGGCACCAAATACGATCACTTTGTTAATTTCCCGCGCGAGGATCAAGAGGAGATCTCGATTCAGGTATGTGGCCTCCCTGCCCCGGAATCTGCAAAATCTAACACGTACTCAGGCCAAACGCTTTGCGAAGGCCATGAAGGCCAGTCTCATCTTTAGCAGCACCAGCCACAGTATCAACGTACAAAAGGTATGTGCCCAGAACATGCGGCTCAAACTACTCGCTTGATAGGGCACATTTGCTAATTCCCCACAGATCTTCAAAATCGTTCTGGCCAAAGCATTCGATCTGAAATGCACCATCCCAGAGATCGAGAACGTTGGCGAGCCTTTACTTCTGTACAAGAACGTGTAAGCACTGTCCGCCTAACGATTATGTACATTGTGACGCTGTTGATGATCGACGCTGGCCCTCTAACCTCACGGCTCTACCACTTTGTGAATCCTTTTTCTCTTCTCCAATGATGTACTTGACCTTTTTTTATGTGCTCATCACTGCCTCGATTTGTGCGCAGATCCATACTATCAGTCAACAACCTCGAGGTTCACTTGATGACGGTTGCTTCTACCCCTGTTTTCCTTGTCTTTTTCTTAGGTGCATCTTTTACCATGCATCGCTACAAGTACCTAGTTTTCTTTTGTTCTATGATCCCATCTGGGAGGCTTCACCGCCTTGAGGCGTTTGGGAGTCGAGTGATGGGCGATGTTCTGGAAATACAACTCAAACTTCATTGTGAATTCTTAGCAATATGTCTCCCTGATCCTGTCTTTCCTTGTGAAACTCGTATGGCTCTCTAGTTGCGCATTGCCGAATGTCTACACTGCATTTTGCTAGATAGGCACTAGCTATCTGATCTTATTAGCTTGTACTTCTCTTGACCTGCACACCTGTATAGTTCTCCGGGTTATGGGAGAACAGGTATTTCAAACCAGCCAAGGAGTACATTCTCAGCCATTGCCACAACTGGGATAATTAAGATGATACCCAAATTTAGAACAACATCCGTTTGACGAGAAGTAAAGAGAGGCGTAACTCATAGATTTCGACCCATGGTACATGAAACGGGGTCTGGCCCCCAATTGGGGAACCCCTCTTGGAGCCTCATCTTTTTTCCCTTTCTCTCTATTCAGACCTCGACTGCCTCTGGGGGTTTGGTCTCCCTTATTATACACAGTACCCTCACGTCTGTGACTCTGTGCTGGTTTCAAGCACAAGGCTGTTTTCGCCCCCGCCAAGCCAGCTGGTGCTTAGACTACACTTGCGACAAGTGTCTATTTTGACACTCTACCTCACTTTGCCCTCGATATAGCCTCTTACCGGCGCCATGACCGAGGAGCCGCAACTAAATTCTATTCAGCAGCGGATCGCCGCCCTGAACCAGTCACAGCTGGCCCGCCCACCGGGCCCTGAACCATTCCTCCGCCCGACCCCAGAGCGGAGCATGCCAGTCAGCCCCCCTCCTTCATACGATTCAGTCGTTCCTCCACCGGATCGAGTGCCCAGCAGAAATGGACAGACAGATGACCACTCTGAGAGGCCGGTCCTACGACCGCCTCCAATGGAAACCCTACGACCTGATCTGAAACCGAAGCCAAAAGCCCCTCCGCCCTTGCCCACGCGGAGAGCAGATCGCCAGGCTCCTCCCCCTCCTCCAGCTCGTCCAGCGCTGCCACCGCGCAGACCAACAGATCAACCGCGGAGACCCTCCCTCGAGTCGACAACCTCCGATGCATCGTACTCGACAACTTCGACGGCAACAACCGCTGGGCGCAATGCATCTTCGACGTCAGTGAACTCCAATGGAAACAATCGCATCAAGGCGCCTGCATGGGGCGCCACAGAGCTACCTGCACTACCCCCAAAGCGACCAAAGGAACAAGTCAACCTTGAACCGGCTCCGCGGCCTACGTCTAAGAGGAGTTTCGGAAACTTGTCCTCCAGAATCACCTCGAAAATCAACTTACCAGGCTCCAAGCCGGCTGCTCCCTCTCCTCCAAGTCAGCCGCCTCGGCCAAGCGTACTCTCGCGTCCAAGTTTGCCAAGTCGCATGGAGACCAACGATGATGCCCCGACACCTCAGCTGCCACCTCGTCGGCCATCTGGTGTACAATCCCAAACGAATGGAACCACTGAAGATGAGGGCCCTCCTTTACCGATTCGGAGGACATTACCACCTCCACCATCTGCTGCGAAAATTAGTGATGCCCGGCAGTTTGGGTTTGGAAATAAGAGCCCAAGCATTCCAGTCCGGCCAAGTAGCACACCGGCTGGTACCCCACCGCCAATCCCACATGGTTCTCGCCCGGATCTGTCCAAGATCATGGCTACAAAGCCACGCTTCAATGGCTCGCCTGCCTCTGCGAGCCCTTCAGTTCCCTCGTCGGATACGGAGTGCTTAGTGTGTCGAGACTTCTCAGGCCCAGATAACCATGCGGCCCGCTATCCTCGTGCATCGCTTCCAACACAAGACATGGCATGGCTGGCAAATGAGCTGACAGCACCATTCCCTTCCTTGACAGACAAGGCCCGCGCGATCTTTACATGGCTGCATCACAACATCTTCTACGATGTCGTTGCCTTTTTTGGCAACTGCGTTCAGCCCTCCACACCAGCCAGTACCCTTGCAACCGGACTAGCAGTCTGTGAAGGATACGCAGGATTATTCCTCGAACTGGCAACCAAGGGTGGACTAGAAGCAATCAAGGTCGGAGGCCACGGCAAGGGATTCTCGCACAACACTCTCGCCCCAGGCTCACCCGTACCCCCCTTCAACGGAAACCACGCCTGGAACGCCGTCAAAATAGATGGAGGCCGCTGGAAACTCATCGACTCATGCTGGGGCGCCGGGTGCATAGAAGGCAAAGGCCAGCCGTACAAGCAGCGCTTCGAACCAGCCATGTTCTCAATCCAGAATGAAGAATTTGGTCTAAAGCACTTCCCCTCGAACGCCAACCACTTCTTCCGCGAAGACGGCCGACCAAATCCCACCTGGGAAGAGTACATCCTCGCCGATCCCGAAAAACCACACGGCGTCGAAACCCTCAAGGTCTATAGCGACGCCGATAAACGCTCCATCGGCCGCAAAACAATCCAACCGGCAGCCCTCCACATCTCTACCAGCACACCTGGTCCAATGCGCTTCCAATTCGGCCTCCTCTGTCCGCACTGGACGCTGGCACGCCACAGCCACGCCTCGCCAGATCTATTCCTGCTCATGATCCATGGCGTCGATGGACGCAAAGATGACAGACTTCCCTTTAGACATGTACCCGGCTCGGGCCCCGCTGGCGGGGGCGAGATGTGGTACGTGGATGTACCTGAAGCACGTATGCTTGGTGCTCCTGGTCAGAAGTTGCAGTTGGCTGTTTTGACTAGCTTTGATAATAAGGATGCCGCTGGTGTTACGGCTGATGAGTTCTTGGCTAAGAATGGTCGGGTTGGGATGGCTTGGGCTTATGTTGCGGAGTGGGAGCTTGTTCGGTAGAGTTTTGACGTCCATTTAGTTTTGTTTTGGTGTCCTGCACATTCTTGTTGACGGCTATTTTTAATAGTTAATCTCGTCTGTTGCATTTTGCAGATGTGCATATATTTTCTATGTTTTGGTAATGGACAGACATGGTAGTTAAGGAGAGAAAGCGATAGAAAGAACCATGTCACTATGTGACTCCATGATCCAAGGAGATACTATTTCGAACCCACTATCTGAGCCATTTCCCCTGTATTTTTTCCCCTCGGTGTCACTGTACGTTACCGACCTCAATATCCTAGGCTGATGATCGCTCCCCACTGATGAGCTCGGAGCCATTAGAATACATGACAATACCTTACTGCTTCCTGAGCGTGGACAAACCTTCAACCTGAGTGCACTGAGTATACCCTGAGTGTTCTCAATGAGTGGCAGGCTGCTCAGACAGCTAGCGACTCGCTGGAATTACAGATGATAGCTGGCACAACTGTCATGTTATCTAGACGCCAAGACTTGGGCAATGTTATTGTGACCTTAGACCTCATCTCTCAATCATTTTAAAGAAAACAGGCAATACCCAGGTCTACAGGTGCGAAGGTTGAGGATAAGGGTTGTAGGGAAATGTATGGCCGCCTAGAGAATACTATCTGTTCTATGCACTGAGATGGGCATGAAAATCTAAGATATATATGTACCAAGCTAACATTTACACTTCATGTTGTTGTCTTTTTATAATACAACTCGATTCCAACCAATCGCAGTACCAGTTCTACCTTTACATACATACTGTTGGAGCCCACAAATACGCGAGTCTACCAGATGAGGAGGAATCGAGATCCCAGTATGGCAGACACTGGACAACCGGGCTAAAATCCATACTACATATCATGAGCCATGCGCGCTGAATAGATCTATACCGGAGTATCGGTCTATTCGTGAATATTGTCAAGATATAATCAAGTAAAGAGTCATAGTAATCCAAATGTAAACACAAGTAACAATGTAGGATTGAACACAAAAGCTAAACTAAGTACACGAGCGACTCCTTCGCGATTTCCATCGCTGGGACAAGATCGGGCAGACCATTCACCAAACTCGCCATTTCGAGAATAGCGGTCACCTTAGTCCCAACGCACAAGTGGCCGTTGTTAAGCAATGTTCAATTACCTCACACCATTAAGGCGAAGGGCCTGAGGAGGTATGGAATGGCTCTGAGTTCGGCAAACTACGGGCTCTGGCTCAACATCCTGTTCTACTCCTCCTCGTACTCCCAAAGACAGATCCAGTTTTTATAGCAACATCATTCAATTTGAATCTCCAGTTGTTCCTTCGAGTGAACGAGTGAAACCATCTCAACTTTTTGGTATCAAGCGAGCATCTTGGAATCCTTTACCTTTTTCTCAACGGTACCGTGGAATGACTTCCCATAGAGGTCGGCAGGGCTTGCAATGAGCAATCAGCAAGGCCTACTTCGGCACCGGTATGATCTACCCAGGCCGACATTGTCGAAGCTGGACTGGAGGGCCAGTACTGGGGATGATTGTGAGAATCTCAAGAGTCCAGGAACATCTATTTCCACTTGTGACATGAGCATTCCTATCATACAACCTACTAGAAAGAGTCGGCTTCCGGCAGTCTTTTCCTGTTTTGTTCACGCACATATATGTTAAACGTCTCGCTGCAGTACTGCTATCTGAAATTTTACTTCGTCAATTGATGTGGAACTTCCAATCGAGATTGTCTGCACTGCTAGATCTACATAATGAAGCATGATAAATGATTTAAATAACCCCAACACATTGATCTTAACGCTTTATGAATTAATTTGTTTATTAAAATGATCGATTCGTGTTTGTGCATTGCTATAGATGTTATCATCACGTGCTGTCGTGTCAAGGACGCGTTGCGATAAGCACACTTTCTCTCCTCACCGACCAGCGCCGAATCCCCATGAGCTGGGATCGAGTAATTCAAGATTCCGACGAGGACGAACCCCTCGAAGGAGATGAGCTTGAGGATCTCCCCTCGTCTGTCGACCCCCTCCAAGCACCCGAGCCCGCTGTGCAGCAGCCACAATACCGCGATGTCCCCGCCAAACACGCAGCCCACAATGCAGTAAACGAGGCTCCTTCTGCCCCAGACGAGAGCATGTTTCCACAATTCAATGTCAATTTTGATGAGTTCCTTCAGTCGCAGGATCGAAGCCATGCGTTGTTGTCATCGTCGCAGCTGCGGCGCGAGGAGAAATGGATTCCTTCGAACAGTGAGGGTGGG